ATTATCAACAAGTTTGTTCTTACTCTTTCAGTTTGCAGTTTGCGCATTGCTTGGATTGTTGCTTTTGGTAGTCTTCTTCTTCCTCAGCTTCTTCCTGCACGTGGTCAACACCACATCATCGCACCGCAAACACAAGTATATGTGCGCACATATATAAAACAAAATACTTCTGTGTGGCTTGTTTGGAGCCGTGCGTGAGCGCATCTCTTAGCACACACTTCTCAAAAGGGTACTATCTAGTTTAAAGTGGTTCATAACTCCACTCATCTCCACTCAGGACACTCATTTACCTGTTATAAAAGGCACTCCTTTGAGTTGTTGTTTCATCTTGAAGATGTCCTTTGCAGAAAAGTGAGGGCAGGCCTGACAAGGGCCCGGCCAAAACGGTCAATCTACGAGGCGAAGAATCGAAGGCTCGAAGGATCGAGCCCCCAGGCTGAGTCCTCTAGCAAAACCACAACTCCCTTTTTGAGTTTCCGGCCAGGAGCCCAGTTGCACTTACTACTGCCTTTCAGACCCTTATGTCTCAAAACAACAAACTCTCAGCGAGCGCAACATGATCTTTGAGTTCAATTAGCTTCCAAACTCTTGCATAGAGCTGCGTTATTGCCAAACACTTGAAACCGCAATATTCAGGTTAAGACGAAATCGCAGATTTCAGAGGCCGGATCCAAACATCTGGTGCCCAGTCGACTGTCGGGCCACGGCTTGGACCAAAGGATCAGCAGCGTCTTGGACCGAGCCAAAAAGCCGCCCAAACCGTAGACGCCGCGCTCCATCAGCTTCTCGTCTGTTTGGTGAATACACGCAACATCCTGGCTGGGTATGGTTCGGGGGGGTGAAATTGCGCGTCACCAACTGTCTGTTCAATGTACACTGATGTTTTCACAGGCCAAAATGTCCAAATCTCATTCTGAGAGGTTCGCAAACAATGGAGATATTTCATTGAGAACTAACACCGCTAACGACAACAAAAGCTCAAAGCATAGACAGTTCCAAGAATTCAAGTCTCCAGGAAGCACTGGTCGCTGCGGAAACGTGCCAGGTATGGGGCCACAGCAAAGCCAAGCAGGATTGAAGGCAGATGGGCTACCATCAGCCAGGGACCAACTCTCACGTGCACTGCCGTGCCCAGAATCTCCACATCGTTTACCGCTGTCATTGGTCGCGGCAAAACCTCCCACGCGTACAGGCAAGTCGTCGCAGCTACGCAAAGAGCCCATGACAAGATCACATGGGTCCTTGGATGCCCAGTACCCCTCCACAGTGTCACTGATTTTGACAATCGAGGAGAGGCGTTTTGATCCCAATAAATGCAAACTTATCCCACGTGTGCCTCCCGCAAGAACCACGAAGATTATGAGTCTGCAGCCATCACTGCGCACATTCGTCACTTTGACTGTCCTGCGAAGAGTTGAGGCGTCCAAGCAAGAAGACGGCTAGAACCACACGCTATGGCGCGCACCACACCAGGTCACAAGCGGAGCTCAGTTTAGGGTGTAGCGGGCGTGTTCTTCACATCAGCCGAGGCAAATCAAAAGAAAGCCTCTGGGTGTGTTGAGATCCTCCATTGAAGATAGACAATGCTTCTTAGTTGTAGGAGAACTCCCTGTTCCCAAAGACATGTCAAAGTGCAAACAAGGTTTCGCTTGCATCCGTGTCCTTCAGAGGCCGGGGCTATAGCTTCCACCACAAGCTACTGGTTAACCAAAGAACTTGGGACAGTCAGTGCACCGGAAGACACTCGAAAGCCAAAGATCCAGGAAGTCCGCAGCAGCAAAGCTAAGACCTTCCATCTGCCTGAGGTCCTCTCAGGGTCGCGACGTTTCAACCTCGAACGAAAAGCCGAGACCGACCGCGATTTTAGTTTCCGGGGAGCCCATAGCGCAAACAAGCATACAGGATATACAGGAACAAAACCGGCGTTCAGATCCACTTCAAAGTCGCTCACCAAGAGCAACGCAGAAATTAAACCGAATCCTCCAGGTGTGTGAGACAAACAAATGCAGGGACACCACCTTGTTGGAATTCCGCCACAAAGTCTCTCGCTGTTTCGTAGGAAGCTCGCTGGGGGAATGCCTCCAGAGCTTGCCCAAGCCACGCAATGTCTTGCTCAAGGAAATCCCGCGCAATATCTCTTCATCCACCTGCGAGCTCAAGATTGGGACAGGGCCAGGTCAAGCACTAAGCCTTCCTTGGAGTTTTGAATCCTTGCGCGTCACCAGAAACCAACAGTTGTCGGCAGTTTGAAGTGAACACCTCCAAACTCAAATAGAAGGTGATGTTCACGGTCCCATTTTCCATCGGGATCCTTGGGAGGCATCCGTTTTGGCGCGTCTTTCCCGCCTCCAAGTGCAGCAAGGACTTGGTGCGCCTGAGCCCTTCTGCGGGGCTGGCCTCTGGGTCTAAGATCTCCACCTTGTCAAGTGGTCGGTTGGGCGACCCGCTTGGTGTGGAAACCAAAACGAACAACACCAAAATGAAGGAGTCCCCCGACACCCATGAGGCCATGGGTCAAAATGCAAATCGTACCCCCAGTCCAGTGAACATCCCAATCCCCACTAAAATAGCTTCTAAAATGGGTGGTGCACCTACCCCAAAATGGTACCATTGGTTTTGACCCACAGCCATATGGTTGTGGGTCAAAATTAAACCACCCGAGTGCAAGTTGTTTGGCCCTTGTTTTAAATTCACAGGGTTCCATTTGGTGCCATTTTGGGTGCCTATCCTTGAAAACAACCCCCAGGGCACTATGGAGCACATTGTTCAGACCCATATCCAGCTGGCAAAGGAGAACTCAACCTATGTCCACACGAAAAAATATCTTGTCTCCTTTCAGCCACCTCTTGTGGCTGAGGATCATCTTGGCCGGCTCCGGCAAGACAGTCTCCGGGACCTTCCACATTTACACATATTTGGTCTGAGGGATCCGGCAGCTCTCCATCCTTGCAGCAGCTGGCGTTGCCACCCATTGCGAACTACAACCATGCACCCGAGCCCAAACACTGCTTGTCCTGGACGCCAGAAACGAGTGCGAATGCCAAACGGCGTTCGAACCTTGGCATTGCCATCTTAAGTGGTTTTGGCAAACAATGAACATGTTCCTCTGAAGTGTCTGAGGCCCTCTGCGCTTGCTCAAAACCATTGTTTAGTTGTGTTGCAGCTAAAACCATTGTTTAGTCTCGGGAGCTTCCCTGTTTCCAAAACAGTTGTTTAGTTGTCCTTTTACCATGGGCCACGTGAAATATGTTCGTGATTTCACATTTCCAGGTTTTTTTTGGGGGGGGGGTCGGCTCACATGTTTGACCCATAGTCTTAGACAAGGTAGCCGCCAGCCAGCTTCCGGTCTCCAAAAGCAGCTCTAGGCAAAAAACACCTGGAAAAAGGCTGGAACAAGCGGGAATTGGGGAATAGCAGCAAGCCGAACATGCGGCTATGTGCATGAATTCGTCTCTTCCGCACGCGCAAACCAGATTGGTCACAACGCCTGACAGAGGCTGTCGCGGAGTCTCGGAGCGGTCTGAGCGGGCTGGGGACCATTGGCGCGCTCGCAGACTTGAATTGGTGCGACCTTCAAAACCTCAAGGCTGTTGTCAGCTTGCGCAGCGATCGAAAGGGGAACCCTCCGCAGACTCTCGGTGGGTCGACCTTTAGCAACTTGCTGTTTTTTCCCCAACAGCTTTGGGGTCTCAGCCCAGATAGGCTCCGGGGCTGGTCGGGGTGCCTGTGAGATAAGAATCCACGAGGGTTCCACCAGGGTTCCACCATCTGCAAGGGCTGCGGGGTGGTCGGGGTGGTTTGAGGTAAGGTTCCACGAGGGTTCCACCAGAGGTTCGAGGGCTGCGGGTGGTCCGGGGTTTCCGGTTCCAGCACAGTTCCACAAGAGTTCCACCAATTTCTTCAAGGGCTGTGGCCACGAGGGTTCCACACCATCTGCAAGGGCTGCGGGGTGGTCCGGGATGGTTTGAAGTAAGGTTACGAGGGTGGTCCGGGGTGGTTTGAGGTAAGGTTTTCCACCAAGAGTTTTAACAGGGTTCCACCAATTTCTTCAAGGGCTGCGGGGTGGTCCTCCACCACACTTCCACCAGCGTTCCACCAGGGTAGCACCAACTTCAAGGGCTGCGGGGTGGTCCGGGTGGTTTGAGTAAGGTTCCACCATGGTTCCACCAGGTTCTGCAAGGGCTGCGGGGTGTTGAGGTAAGGTTCTATGAGGGCTCCAGGGTTGCACGAGGTTCTGCCAGAGCTCCATGTGGGTTGGTTCTGCAGATGGTCCGGGGCGGTTCCGCAAGGATTCCACAAGATTTCCACAAGGCTCCACAAGGTTCCACAAGGGTTCCAGACATGTTCTGCAAGGTTCCGTTGTTTGCCCTGGGGGGAAGCAGTGTGTCGTGCGTCCGCTGTCTGAAAAGCCATCGGAGCAGTAAATTGAAGGCTCAGAAGATCGCTTTGCTCATGGGCGGAACACTAAGCAAAACCAAAATCAATGGTCTTCAGCACACTTTGACTGTTTTGTCGCTTGCTCACTTGCTCAGGCAACGCGGCCCGAAATGTTGACTTTGTAGCAAGTCAGGTCACGTTGCTGCGGGGCTCACGGTGCAGCAGAGTAAATGCTTGGCATTGCTTAGTATTGCTTGGTGGGCTTTGGGTTCCAAGAATTCCGAGGCTGCGAGGGCTATGGGGTAAGGTAAGGTTCCAAAAACGATCCACGAGGTTTCCACCAGCGCTATCGGGCCCCGATTGCACCGATCGGGGCCCGATTGCGCCGTCGGGCCCTGATCAGGGCGCGATTGCGCTGTCTGCGTTTTAAAGTTACAAGGCGGCATCCTCAGCAACACCGGTGGTGAGGTGGGTCCCGGGGCGTTCCGCGAGGATTCTGGGAGGGTGTGGTGCTTTTGGGGATATCGCCTGAGATTCTTTTTTCACTCCCCTGAACTTGGCTCTCCAGTCAACCTCGAGAAACTCGGTGATTTTGCCCTAGAGACAAAGAGACACAGAATGAAACAGAAACATAAAGAGAAAGGAGAAGAGACAAAATAGAGAAAAGAGGCAAACAAAGGATCAAGTAAGTGGCAATATAAAAAATAAGAAACATAATCAACGACAGTGACAGATAATTAAGCAGAAAGAGAAAAGAGAAATAGTAAAGAGAGAAACAACGGCAAAGAACAAAGAGCAAAGAGAAGGCACGAAAACGAAGAGGAAAACAAAGATGAAGAGGAATACTCAGATGCGCAGAACACTTCGAGGATGAGAAAGAGAAAGAGGAGGATAATGGAAAAGAGGAGAAAGAGAAAGGAAAAGAGAGAGAGCAAGCGAAAAAGAAAGATAATAAAGAGAAAGAACGACAAGGAGACAAGGGGTGCTCCACAATTGTTATATCTTTTAAACTTCCGTTCCGCCGGATGTGCCGGAGCTTACTGGTATCAAAAGAAACCAGCAGATTCAGATTCATAAATCCAAGAGACCAAAGAAGACAGGGCGACGTTGATTACTCTGATGGTTTGCGCAAAGGTAAGATGCTAGTATAATGTTTTCAGCCAGCCCCTGGCGCAAGGATAACGTCACGCCAGGTGTTTCGTGCCGTGAAAAAGCGACCAAGTTGTGGCTGGAGTATGTTGGCATTTGCTGATTGCTTCAAATGTTTCAACGTCACGAGAAACCTAGGCTGTAGGTGTTAAGCAATGAGTATTACACGTCAACGCATTGCTGATATCTGCTGACCTAGACCGCGAAAACGTTTATCAAGTTATTTTGTGGAATTCTTATAATCGCCTCAGGCCCCCTGCCTCGCTGGCTTTTGGCTTTTGGACCCCGGCCCTCTCGTCCCTCTCAAAAGGACCTTGGAAGGTCTCGAGCAGAGGCTTGGAGTGCGAAGGCTTTCGCTGGAGGGACGATTGAGTGAGCCAAGGGTCCCGAAAGTTAGCTACGTAGCGCCACTGGATATGAGCTGACACGCCTTGTTTTCGTGGCCTTGGTACTGTGAATTAGACGCCTGACGATTCTTTTGCTCGCTCCAAAGCATAATTGTGCATGGGCAAAATGGGCAAGACAGGCAAGATTGGCAAGGCCCATGGGAAGGAAGACAGAGGCGCTACACTATGCTACATGTCATCCAATTGTTCTTTTTGGCACTGCGGTGTCCTGTACTGATCTAGAAAGCAAACATGCCGTTCATTGGAGGCGGAACAAGTGTCCAGCAGCCGCATGGTGGGCCGACAGTGTAGGAAACGGGAAAGCGGCGCTTCCCAAAAGGCAGCTGTACATGTATCTTGGGGCAGGCAAACGTCCCCATTGCTTCGAACATCGAGCGTCTGAGCTCGCTCGCTCGCTCGCTCTGTTTCACGCCAGCTGATGTGCAGCGACAGCAGCAGAAGCCAGCGAGCCAAATAGCAGCGCCAAATAACTCATCCTTAGCTTCGCTGTCCATCCGGCATTCAATCTTGTTTTAAAAGGTTGGAACCCTGGTTGGACAGAAATCCCCAACGAATTTTGATGTCGTCCTCAGTTGAGCGGTGGTCTAAACCTAGGTTCCACGGTGTATTCCATGATTGCCTTCGGGAACCCTAAGCTTTCGCGTCCCACAGTTTTCTTTTCTCGGAGCACACTGCAAAGCTTTCGCGGCCCTTTCCTTTCGCGCAGCAACCTGCAGGGGACAACACCTTTACTAGCCTCTTTCATGGGGGTTTTGAACTCTGCTCAGTCAAAATTTAACCGCGTCCACAACACCACCCTATCAAATAGGCGCTACCCTCTCTCTCTCTCAAACCTTTGCTATCCAGCCAAGCTGCGTGAGATAGTCCGGCAACAGCCCGCTTTGATCATGCCTGACACAAACAAGCACACGAGCATCACGTATGTCTTTGCCTACCGGACCATCAGGAATCCATGACACCAACCATTTTGTCGCTTCTGTCAACAATAGGAAACGCACTCCAAGCAGTTAAGTTCCTTGTGGCGTCCTTTCAAACCATTTCAAAAGTGGTTCAACCTCACATTGGGAGACCCTCTGGTTCAATCTCAAATTTGGAGACAAACTCGGAGGGCAGCTTCCCCCAGTTTCACCACCTTTTCACGCAGCCACATGGCCATGGGTCAAATCCAAAGCCCGTACCCCCAGTGAACATCCTATTAAATCCCCACTAAAATAGGTTCTAAAATGGGTGGTGAATTCACCTACCCCACAATGGGATCCCATTGGTTTTGACAACAACAGCCACATGAGCCCCCGATCCGTCCAGAAGCCTAGCGATGAGCGGCAGCTGCTCCATGACCAGCAGCATAAACGCCCCCGTAGTGAGGCCTACGGCGTCGGCCGCTGCGTCCATGATGGCCTCAGGGACAAATGCAAGCAGGGTGCTATTTTTTGACCACCATAACCCAGGGGTTCCCTTTTTGGGGCACATGACCCACCCCCGGGTTTAAGTCATTGTGGGGGTAGTCAAAAAGGAACCCTGAATGCAAGGGCCTAGGGTCGTGAAGGGGGGACATGGTCTGGTTTTCTTGCGGGTATGAAGCGTTGAATTGAGAATCTTCAAACATCATCTACACTTGATGGGCTGGATGTTTTTGGGAGGGTATTCGGATGAAACTGCATATCCATCGAAAGAGCAGGCTGCCAATCCCTGGTCTCAGTTGGTGAGGGAGTTGGAAGTTTGGAAATGTACGTCGATCCGCCGTCTCAACGTCTCGCCACCCCACAAGAAGAACAGGCTTTGCACATGTACCACCAGCAAAGACCAGTAGACACTTTCGCATCTGCCACGTTTTCATGAGCAAATGGGTCCTTGTAGATCTCAGGGTGTGTCACCCACTGTGGCACTTGTGCCGAGTTGTTGTAGAAGGGCATCAAGCCCAGCATGAGGCAGACACCTGCGTGTGCACTCGAAAGCTGTCTTGTGACAGAGCTTTGGTCATGTAATGTGCAAGCGACAGCCAAAAGGAGCTGGTTCAACAATTCCCGAACATGATTCAGCAGCCAATTTCTCCATCAGTTCTATTTAGATGGTAAAGGTTTATACAGCCCGTACTACGACCCCCAGGAAACCAGCAAAGCCGGCCAGTGGGGCGGGGGTTCAGAGAGAGAGTCTGATGCCAAGCAGTCGCCTGGGTAGATAAAGAACCATGGCTTGGATGCAGACCACTTCACTTCTCCAAAGATCCCAAACCTGAACTCACAAAGAGCTGAAAATTGCGGCACGACCGGAAACTCTATCTGCAACCATGCAGCTTCATTGGAACCATGGCGTCAGCAGGCAGACTTCCTGGGAATTCCAGACGGACGTTTGACCCAAGCTAAAACTAGCCACTTTCATGCGAGCTCTGAAGCATTCCCCCACGTGTCATTGGTCTGGCCAAGACACCGTAAAGCGACAAGCCACGCAGGACGGCAACACTATTCACAGTGACACAGGCCATTGGAAGTAGCCTCGGAGCACATGAGCAGCGTGGCGCAAGTGAAGACAAACCTGGCTGTGGGTCAAAAGTAGGCACCAAAAGTGGATCTCTGGTAGATGGAAACATGGACGAACAACTATGGTTTTCTGGCGTAGTTTTGACCCACACCCACATTCATCTGCGCGCACTTTGACCTGCATTGGGCTTTTGGCCTTCACACGCGCCTGAGCCTGGCACCTTGCAAGCTGTGCTCCCATGGCGAGCAACAAAAAGCGCGCAGACTGAGGGGCCGAGCAACTACTCCAAACTGAGCCAATATATATATATATTATATTTTATATGGTTCTATAATTATGTTTTCTCCTTTATTCTTAATATTTCATTGTTTATTATTATTATTTTTAGTATTAGTATTATTATCATTATTATTATTATTATTGTTTTTTTTCTAAATATAAACTATTCCTAATCTATGAATAATCCTCCTAGGAGGGTCCTTTACAAAAGACCTCCTCAAATATATATATATATATATATAAATAATTATACCATATAAATTATATAGTAAACAAATATATTTCAATGATTTTACAATTAATTCCTTCGAAATATTAAAGAACACTGATATTAATTCGAATCCGGACTCTTAAAACAAAGTAAAAATTCGAATTTCGACATTATTCTACTTAATAAAGCGAATTAAAAGCAAAAAAACACATTATCTATTATATCTTACACTGGCAATAATATAATTTAGGTAAATAAATTTTTAAATCAACAACCAACTATTCCGCATAAATTAGTGTAAAACAAATATCTAAATGTATTTAAACAAATATTTAAAATATTTTAAAAATATATATATATATATAGTTTAGTACATATAACGAATTTCAAGATTTAAAATGTAATATCTAAATAATATCTACCGGTGTTTACCTAAATCGAAACCATTACACAAATTCCCAAAAAAGAGCCAAATTACCATACATATAATATATTTAAAAATAAACAACAATAATATATATATATATATATAAACATTTAAAACAACATATATCAAAAAACATATACAACATACACACAACAAAAACATACAATAGATCACCACATCATAAAATCTCACATAACACAGATCCAAGTCAAGTGAGCTGAGCCCCAGCTGAGGCTGTTTTAGTCAAGTGAGTGAACTGTTTGCGAAACAACCACACGCCACATTCAGCTTACGTCCCGAAATGTCAAATTGAGAACCCGAGTAGAAATTGTTGGGAGATCAAGCATGCTTTAGTATTGGAGCAAGCCCCTGCTTTCCACTAAAAAGACCCCTCTAACGGATTCGCCAAATGCCCCCGAAAGACCAGTCCGGCAACCTCTCTTTTGACCGCAAGAGTCCGACGCAGGGAGCAGGAAACGGCTTCTCTAAAGAGCAGGATAGTATGCAAATCTGCAAGGGACCGGCTTTTGGAACCTGCAAGTCGCACCAGTGAAGGTGGAGCGCCTAAGCAGAATTAACCGGTGAATGTGGACCAAATGATGATCAGTTCCATGGAGATACCATTGGAATCAACGCCCATGCTGATCCAAGCACCAGAATTCCTGATCCAAGTCCGACCGCAGGAGCAGAAGTCGAAGACTTCCAAGGGAGCAATGCGCCGTCAGTGTGGAATATTCACAGTTGATCAGGAAACCCGGCCAATCCTGTCCATGACAGCTCGCACCACTCGGGAACTTGAAAGCTTGGGATCTATCCACTCCCTGGCAAGATCGGAGTATCTTGCCCAGCTGAATTGCAACACATGCAAAGCTGTTGACAGTACACCTGCGGTACCCCTGTCAAACACAGATTTGCCTCTACGCAGTCTGTATAATTCAAGCAATGTGACTGGGCACGCAATGCAGGCTTTGCTGATATCATGGCAATCATGTTGATCTAAGAGTTTGGACTGCCGGGCTGCATCGAAGCAACAAGGTAAGCTAGATGTCGAAACGGCATCAAACGTCGGTGTTGGAGAAATTGAAAGGTGAGTACGACAAACCCCCTGGTGCCAATGTATAAACCCCATTTCCGAATGGCAATTTGGTGAGTCGTTTCCCCCATGTCACTTCTTTATTATCGTAGATTACAGTATCAGTAAATATTGACCGTTGCTCTATCAGTTGTGCCACTATCGGTCTAGCATCAAGAGGTCTTGTCCTCGTGACGCTTTCCACATGTGGCCGTCACTTCTCTGTCAGTCACCTCGCGCACGGACGTTCGCTCAAAACTCGGGGTTCGGTTGGGTGTGTGTGTGTGCTGCATTTCGCGCCCCTGAGCCCCCACACTCAGTGGCAAAAGTGCGAAACCTTTACCCTCAAGCGAGTCTTCTCGCTGCACCTCTGACAACAAGCATCCAGCCTTGAAAATGCCCAATCCTTTTGGAATATTCACCGGCATTACCTGAGGCGGCCAAGCCAGAAGCGAGGCTCAAGGCTTTCGGAGTTGCCACACCTTCTGCTTCCATCTGTTGGCTCACCCTTCCGATCCCTTCCACTTCCGATGTCTCTGATTCTTTGGCCAAGCACCATCATCGCGCTGACGGCAATCACCAAGAACGGGAGCAGAGGGTGTCCCGGTATGGCCGTGGCGCAGGGTACCACGACAACCTCGGATCGCGCACCAAGTTGTAGCACGCATCTGCATCCAAAGGCAGCCGAAGAGGACCAAAGCTTCAGCTTGGCCAGACTTCTTGCAGCCAAACAGACCCAAGTAAAAGATGCTCCCTTGGCCAGAAACTTAACTGCCGAAGCTGGCAGCAGCACAATATGCCAAGCCAAACGAAACCGCCTTGCTGTCTGCAGCTTAGGAGAGAATGGCTGCATCCGCTTTCTACACTGAGGCTGCTGCGCAGGCCAAGTTGGTAGGTATGCCTACCTGATCAGGCAAGTCCCCCTTCGCAAACAGACTCTCCCTAAACACGCAGACACCGCGTGCAACCACCACAAACCTGTGTCTATGATAGTGTCCTTTTCCGCGGCATCGGCTAAATGTAAAACCCTTCTGTAGTCGACTTGAGATGGTGGGTCAGACCAAGGCTAAGGGCACGCCTTGAGATGTGCGAGATTGTGCAAGCTGTCAAAATGATTGAAGCGCTTCACGCTTGTGCTTCAAGCGCTTCAGACGAAAGGAAGAAGAGTGCAATGAGAGGATCGGAGAAAGGCTTCAAGAACCCCCAAGGCCGAAATCACTCAAGACGAGCGAAGAAAAGTGAAGCGTACCACCGGAGAAAGGGGGTGAGGACCAGAGAAAAGAGAGGCCAAAAGAGCGAGCGCAAAGAGCCGTTGAGACGGTCGAGCTGGGAGACAAGGTCGCCGAGCGTCCGTTCAGGACAAATGGGCTTGGGGTGAAAAATTGGGCAACCACAAAATGGGTTGCGCTGGTAAATGAAACATGGACTGGACCTGGTGGTTCAAGTTTGACCCATACCCGGATATGCGATGACACTTATTGTTAATCACTGCGGGAGGCTCCAAGCACGAGCTCAGAGTTCAGAGAGCTGGCACTTGCAGAATGGGCTTTAAAACGTGAAAAGATGGCAGCCGAAAAAAGCTCTTCGGTATGAGCTCGAGAACAAGCTTAAGCAACACACAATTCAAGCTGCAAGCTGGGGCAAGCCTTGGTGCTGCAAATGACCAACAACACTTTCCAAATGGGAATCGTGCACTTAGGTTCTTGTGCACTCAATTGTACCGCATGGAGCAGTCATGTCTGCAAATGCATGCGAGGCGCAAAGTATAAAGGCCGATTGCCATCATGCACAATAAGCTCTCGAGCAATTCCTTAGTTCAGTAGTTGTGCTGCACCACACGGGAAGCTCAAACGAACATGTCCTGCTTCGCAAAACGCAAAAGCTATGGGGCATTTTCCTGATGTTGCAGACACGGCGGCGAAATGTGCTGCAGGCCACATAGCCATAACCAGCCTTGTGCGACCAACGCACTCTCCCTCTCTCTCTCTCTCTCTCTCTCGCTCTCCCTCTCTCTCTCTCTCTCTCTCTCTCTCTCTCTCTCTGTTGCCGAGAGTTTTCCAGGGAAACAATCGAAACAATCATGAATCCCAAAGGCGCAAGAAAGGGGCCAATCAAATATCATCAAATATCGCACATGTTGGCCGGGCCGGGCTTTGTAACTTTGCCACTTCGTCTTCCAAGCTGCCAGGAGTGGCATCACGGTGTAGAAGGAGACGCCATGACTGTCCTGCTGGCCTTGGTGAAGCGGATAAGCCACCGTCGCTGCCCAAGAACCTGTTGAACTTCACGTATCACAGAACGACACAGCGGCCAATGTCCAAAAACTGAAAACATGTGGACCATCTGGGCTTTCTTTTTTTTTTTTCAGCTGTTGGCGCTCTGCTGACAAAAGCCTCAAACAGGGGACCCAAGCTGAGCACTCCCAACGGGCTAAGCTGAAGAGATCATGTTTGACCGGGCACGGAGAACTGCGAACGCTGAGAATGCGGCTGAGTGCTTGCCGCGTGAAGAAGATGCCTTACTTGTCTTGGCTGTGGGCTCGCATGCACTTCGCACTCAAAAGCACCTGCAATCACTTGGCTGTGGGTCAAAACCAGGAAACCCCTGGTGAGCTTCAAAATAGGTGGTACATGGGTGTTCATCCGCCCCAAAATGGAGGCATAGATTGTGACCCATGGCCACTTAGAAGCGAAGCAAGCACATGAGGATGCTGCCAGGACCAATGCCGAAGCAGGTCAGGTCGGCCAGCCTCTCTGGAGGTTGCGAGCATGTGATCCGAATGATTTGGCAATGGCTGCTAATGTTTGCCTAGGCCGAAGCTAATAGCTGTCAGTGTCGTGGCTATGCACAAAACCCTGCACCATTGGGTGGCTTTTCCAATGATTAATAGGGCTTCGTCCATTCCAAGTGGTGCAGGATTCGAATGTCTGCAAACCTCGAGCAAAGTGTCCCTGCCAACGAGCAGCTGATCAAAGGACGCACCGAATTTGGACTTCACCTGCAGTTTGCCTCAAGCAGGCGACGCTGCAAGTGGACATCCCTCAGTGGGGTGGGGTGTTCAAAATAGGGGCCCCTTTTGCTATCCCCTTTGAAAAGCGGCAGGCAGCGGCAACAGTGTTCAAACGGTTCGCATGTGCAGTCGAGCTTCGTGCGGCAGTTCCTGGCTTCACAGCTGGCTGAAGTCCAACCCAGCCGAAGCTATTTGGCCATGGGTCAAAATCCAAATCGTACCCCCAGTCAACATCCCAATCTCCACTAAAATAGACTAAAATGGGTGGTGCACCTACCCCAAAATACCATGGGTTTTGACCCACAGCCATTTCACCAACCACTCACTCCAAATTGTGAATGGCTGCAAGGAGCCAATCTTCTCCGCAAAGGACTAAACTTCGCCAAGAATCCATCAGCAATGTCTGCCAAAAGGCCCAGGAATGTCGCAAAGACACATACATTCGGTGAGATACCTCGCATGCAGGTATCGGCCAGTTGAGTGCAAGCCACACTCTGGAGGCCAAGAAAATGCACGACATGGCCTGGAATGGAGGTGGATACCATCAGGATGAAGCCACATGCCACAGTGACCTGAATTCATTCTCCCAGGATGAATCGGATTGATGATGTACCAACGCCATGTCCATCTTCAAGACTCATCCGCAAGCACAGCACGCTTCACCGCTTTGTGCAACACAGATTCGTACGTGGGTGTGCGTGTGTGTGAAGTAGGGACCCCACCCCAACTGGCTGCTTGTCATCCAGCTCCCTTTCAAACATCACCAAGGGGTGCTTAGATTTGGCACCAGACCATGGCGTAAGGCTCGGACGAAGGTGATCGCATTCGGAATGTTCCTTCGTTTGGGACGTGTTCTGAGTTGTTCGTTCTTAGTAGGGAACACTTGCCGATTTGGTTGGGACACTGGTTGATTAGATCATGCTTCAGCCTCATTTCCATGCTGAGGCGGGCTTGCACTCAAATTGTCCACAAGTCCCACCGGGCTGACTGATAGCAAGAATGCTCGTGCCACGGCCAAAAGCTAAAAATACATCAATCCCCATTCCACAGCTTTGATCCGAAGGTTCTCAAAACCGTATTGGCACGGCATCTCTTGCAGCTGGCCTTATCAGGAAGGGCTTGTCGCTAGCTTCATCCGAGGACATGGCTCATGCGGACTCCGATCTTCGGCAAATCTTGCTTGTCCATTGGCCAGACCCTACAAGCAATGCGAGTCCCGCATATGCTCCACTGAGTTGATTTGCTGCCATAGCCACTCAGCTAAAGCCATGCATCAAGAAAGCCAGCATGCAACAACTGGAGGAAAGCTTATGATTCAGGTCTCTCTTCTTGCACAGCTCAGATTCGTTTGTCTTTCTTACTTATCTGATGACATTATTCAATCTTTCGCGAACCCTCCCCCAAAGCGTCCGCACCGTGAACATGTCTTGGTTGCTTTGCTTCCGCGGCCGCAGTTCGGCTGATTTTGTGCTTCTGTTGGTGCAATTGGCTGCTGTAACACATAGCCCTGCCGCGAAGCTTCCGCGAGGCAAACCCTTCCGCAAACCTTCCCCGACTGCAGTCCCACTCACATTTTGCAAGAAACATGTACACCCCTTACATGCCACATGTACCGGGTAAACAAAGCAAGCTCAGCTGTTGCCAAATTGCCGGGTCCAATCTTTCAGTTGGCTGCCACTAGGTGTATGCAAGTTGGGCCTCTGGAAGTTTGTCAACCACTCCTGCCCCGGATTGTTGGGAGCGCGGTTTCCTGCACTGCCGCTGGCCTTTTCCATGCCTCTCTGAACTCCGCATGGCGTGCCTTCATGAAACTCAACCCATAAGCGGCTTGACCTCTGCCTGTGAGACCGGGAGCAGTGCCGGGGTGGCAAAGTCGGACAAAGAGAAGGTGGCACGGGCCTGCAACAGGCGAAACATTCATTGGAGCAGGCAGCACTGCTATTTCCCCCCCCCCCCCCACGTCTGGTCTGACTGTCCTAATCCGCCGCTTGAGACTCGGTCGGGCATGTCTCACTTGGCCTGGAAAGCCAGGCTACTCATCGCGATCGCTTGCACCTGGCAGCCTGAGAGTCTGAGGCCATCGCTGTGTCCACCAGTGCCACAATATCCTGGATGAGTGCCTCATAAACAGCCAAGTGCCACTGCTTAAGCCCTTCAAGAGTGTGGTGATCATTCAAGCTAAGCGAGTGAGCAAAGCTTCACAGTAGTGTAAACTCGTGTCTGCGTGCAACCCAACGCGGGCTTCAGCTGTTGAAATTGGCCGTCCGACAGTGATGGCCTTGTTCACCGGAGGGATGCCATGCTTCATGAAGATCATCTTTACCTGGCTGTCTTGCTAGCACAATGACTGAGCGTCCTTGCTTCATCGTCACCCATGCTAAATGATACACTGTGCCAGCTGAGGCTGCTTTTGCACCGGCTTGCTTGTACATTGCAGTAGCTGGCCTTGTCCTCAACCTTCTGCGAGTCATCCATCATGATTCCCTTAATGCCCTGGTACCTCCGCTCGGAACATATTGTTCGTACATCAGCAGCAAATCAACAACTGTGCAGAGCTCAGCCTAGCAATAATCAGATCTGTGCTGATGGTTTAAAGGCTACTGATGCGTGAGGAATGTTGACAACATGGTGGCCCTCTCTGGCGAAAATGACAGCGAAACTCACGACAACCCTTCAAATGAGAAACGCTTGAAGAGGTATTGCAGTTGAAGCAGTGCATCTGGCCATGCACATTGCTCCGAATACAACTTTGATTCCAAAATCCCTCTCGGGGTAGTCGAACTCAAAAGGAAGATCCAAAACTGAAGTGTATTCAACAAGATGGCTCGTCATGGAAGGCGCATGCGCACTCTGGGCTCAATTCAGGATGATTTGCGATCATCTTGGCCAGCAGCTTCTCATCCTCCTGGTGCATGTACCTAGGCAAAGTGGCCATGGGTCAAAAGCCCGTACCCCCAGTGAACATCCCAATCCCCACGAAAATAGACTAAAATGGGTGGTGCACCTACCCCAAAATGGTACCATTGGTTCTGACCCACAGCCAAGTGCCTCTGCTGTTGAACTTTAGGCTAGCTGTCCAGACTCAGCAAAGGCACTCGGGGACATATCAACGAACCCAAGCAGGGAGGTCCGACTGCCTCAACGACTCTCAATCACTGAGTGGCGCACAAATTCTCCTGCGCCTGTCGAGGTGAAGCATGCTGAGGGAAATGGGTGTGGGTCAAAATTAAGCCACCAGGGGACCACAGGTTTTAGTCCATGTTGCCACTCACCAGGGCAAGCCATTTTGGGGTTACCCTATTTTTGACAACCACAGCCAAATGGGGACCCCTGTCCTGCTGCCCACATGCTCTTTTGGCTCTCCGAATCTCGAGGTGCCTTGTGTGCTTCCTCCAGGATTCTGATACCGCCAGAGAAGCGTGCCAGAGCACCCTGCAACAGGAGGGTTCGCACAACCCCGCGACTATCCATCAATCTGTCAGCTCTGGCCGTCCTCAGATCCCCTGCTAGAAGTTTACTTTTAGTGGGCTAAATGGAAATCGCCACTAAACCCTAGGAGCCTAAAAAGCTCAGGGGACGGCTGGGAACCATCAAGCAAAGCCGAAACAACTATCCCGCGTCCTGGCGGAGCAGGCTGGGTCGAACGGCACGGTAGGCTGCCAGCATGACCTCTCGCGTTTTCTCGGGACCTGACGTGAAGCCTCGCCTTGCTTCTGCGCAAACCTTTGTCTCTGCTGGTGTGGGAAAGCCAAGCACTCACAACCCATTTCTGAGCTCTCGACGGCAACACTCGCTTCGATCAAGCAAGCAGCACTGATCGGCTTGAGACAATAGCTCAACGTATAGGAACCATACACTCCACATTCAAGTGATGGACAACATTCAATTTCGTCTCTTCTCATGCAACACCTGGTTTGTTGCCGGCACTCATTTTGCGGCGAATGCGTGATTCGAACACCATCCTCCGCTCAGTATGGCGCTCCACGATGCGAGCCGTAACCTGTACAGCTGCTTCATTCACTGCACATCACTCCCGAGCAACTTGTCAACCCGCCTGGCCAAGCACCGTAGCCTGCCAGCGATTGTTTCACAGCTAGACGTCTTTCTTGCGGGCATGTTGACAATTCAAAAATGAAACGGCAACTTTTGGGTCAAAGCACCACACACCCACTCACCCACCCTGTTGCTGGTGCACAATCGCCCACGGCAGCGCGGCTACAAACGTCGCAGACTTCGTAGCTTTCGCTCCTGAACAACACCGCCATGGTTCTCCGCGTGCCGAGAGCTGCGGCAGCGTCGCGCGACAGCTGCGTTTATGGCGGCTTGGCCTCGGTCATTTGGCTGCGCCCCGATGGTAGCTGCAAGACGCAGCGTGTAAGGCAGGGCGCCCGAGTTTCACAAGCATCGCCCGCGTCCAACAGCACCAGCGGACCTCGCGCCGCCCGTCTCAGCCAGAACTGCCCTTCGGTCGCCGAAGAACTGCCAGCGGCAAGCCAGGGCAGGTCCCCACCTTACCCCTCGCTTAGCGGGACGCGCTGGGGGCAGAGGACAGCGACATCGCCAGCTGACGAGACGAATACCTTTACGCCTCACCAAACATGGCAAGGAAGCAAAGGAGAAAAGACGCAAGGCAAGACGCAAATGTCTGTCAGGAAAGGAATAGATGGGCAGAAGAAAGCCAGGGAAGCTGTTGCTTTTTTTGCAGGCGCTTCAAGTGCTGAGGAGAGCAAACGAGTCGCGAGCCTGTTACAACCTTGCGGTGGCTTTCCTTGCCGCCATCCACCCTGCCCAAATCGCCACACCACTTTGACATCTGCGCAGAAACAGCTCCCCAGGTCCCATCTCATCCATCACCCGCCTCCATAGGCTCCGTGTTGGCTATACTCACCTGGGAAACATGGGCATAGGGCCGAAGGCTTTCAGTTCTTAGGCCATGCCTCCTTTTGAACCATGCCAACTGCCTGCGCCGAACACGTTCCAATGGCAACATGAGCAGATTTTGCTCTTGGACGCGCCTGGCGATGCCTGCGACTGTGACCTCGGAAGGATATTGCTGACTCCAGAAGCGATGGTAGCAATGGCAGGCACCAGAAACTAACTCACAGCGTGGTCGAAAGCTTGCAGTTAACTCGAAATCGCAGCCAACTGGTCCTGGCTAAACCTTAAGTGTGCAAAGCAGCAAGTACCGAGTTCCGCGAGCAGCACATCAAGTGCATTGTTTGGTCTTGTGGCTGCACTGAATCCAGTGCTGCCACGGTTCAATCACACTTTGACCTTCGACTGAATGTCTTGTTTGAACCATGCTCTGACTGGTGGCTGCTTTGTGTGCAAACGTTAGGAGGGAACGGCCACATCCAGCCAGCGCACTCACCAGTGCACTTGGCTGCGTTCAGAGGGTGCCTCATGTGTCCAACATATCAGTATGGAGAACGCCCTTCTGGAAGGATGGCTTTCTGCATGCGCACTGCATGATAAACATCCTGCGCTAGTCTGCAGCTACTTTGAGAGGCAAATCAAGGGCCCGGGCCCATCAGCGGCATGGGCAGGGCCACCGTAGCCGCCATGATTGCCGTAGCCGCCATGATTGCCGTAGCCGCCATGACTGCTGTAGCTGCCATGGCCGCCATAGCCGCCTTTGCCTTTCAATGATGGCTGTGTCTCAAAACTAGAAACCTGCTACCGAGGACAGTTTTTACAGGGACTAGTCTCAGTTTCGACACGGACCCTTCTGTCGCTTCCTCGAGCGTGACGCACGTGAAGAAAGATATATACTCCGGAGAGCTGAGAAAAAGAAGCAACTAGTTGATACCATTACTTTTGGGCCAGTCCAACTTTCTTCTTGATATTTGTTCATCGGCTGTCCCCTAAGTGCTTGGTGGCAAATGGCATGCGCGGAGCCTTCCGTCCATCTTCGGTCCTCCCAGGATCAGCTGAAATGCGCAGTACATGCAATCTCGTTAGATTAGTTGGGTCTGTGTCAAAGTAGTGAACCCCGCAAACAAATGTGGATGTCCTTCTGGTATCTGCGAAGAAACAAAAAAAGCTTAAATGCGTAGCCTCAAAAAGCACGTTTACACACACATATTTCATTTCGCTCCTATGTAAAGGGTGTCGGCCGAGAACTGGAGGAGTTGATTGGGTCCCTTCAGGAAAAGAACTGCAACCGCCCTGCGAGCTTAGCTGAGTCCAAAGTAACGCGGCCTGCCTCTGAGCTTGGACCAGTGAGCCACCAGTTGAATTCAGCTTCCATACAGGACACGCATTCCAGGTGTTTTTTTGGTGTTGCAGGTACCAGTGTGTATATCAGGGCGGGCCTGGCCTGATGGCTTGAGTCACCTGCACGTCGCAAATTCAACTGAGCTCGTCTCCAACAAGAGACCCCCCCAAAAAAAAAAACATGGGAGGCTTCCCTCTATTGGTTCACCTCTTTAATTCAAAAAGGTGACAGAGGACACACTCGCTTGGATTTGGAGTATTGCATCGCGCCTTGGGCGTACCCACTTGGCTCACCTAGCGAAAGCTGAGCTGCTCTTCAAGCAAAAAAAACACCTTCCGTAGTCTTCGCTCATAGGGCCCAGTTGGAGATACACTGCAAAGACACTCGTTAGGCCAATCTGCCGTACCTGATTGCCAGAAGGTGGTTCTTCTGGAAACAAGCTGGATGCCGTATCCTTCCATCCAGTCAACTATAGATTCAAGTTCTTGCAAGCTGCAACAATCGCATAGGCGATCCATGATAAATCGGACAAGGACCTTATATGTCCTACCCCGTGAAGTCGGCAGCTCAGGCAAGGGCAAAAGTCGAGTGGCTCACCGTGCGGAAAAAGCACATCCCTCAGGACAGGATTTCTTGCCCAAGTCCACGCCACTGTTCGAAGCACCCCCAAGTTTAGAGAAGGCTCGAGGCCAAACCTTATCGGCTCTGACCTACCTTGTGTTTTACGGGTATCCACAGGATGCTTGTTAGCCCTCAGGTCGTGTTGGCCCCTAGAGGACATGAAAATGGCCTTCATTCGTGGGCGGCATCTCAACATGGCAGAGTCCATAGCATGCTCCACATCTAGCTTCTGGGCAATGGGAGGCTTGCGCGCACCCTGCAAGCTGCCGACCAGTGTGCAAGCAGCGGCTCCAGCTTCAGCTTCTTCTCCTCTAGATGTGAATCAGGTGTCCAACACCCGTCCCCTTGTACACATGTTGGATCTTGTCGCAACACTTGCGACCATTCCTGTTCCAACATGTGATCAGCCCCATCTGAATTAGCTGCAGAAGCGCCTCCATCTTGCTGTGAAGCAGAACCACAAATCCTAAACCCTAAATCGGACCTTGGAGGTGTGTGTGTGTGTGTCTCTTCCAAGCGCATGTTAGCCGCGTCTTCAGTTTCAGTTCGACATTGAACATCATTGGGGCTGAAGCCAGCCTTGAAGGTCGTGTTGTTGGCCTGCGACAAGTCAAATTTACTGCGCTCCGAAAACCTGTCAAAACGCTGTCGACCACAATCGCAGGAGTGCAGAGAGGTCTGCACTTTGATTTTTCAAGAGCACTGATGGAAGGAACATAAACCCGCAGAGCATTGAGGGCTTTGTGCGCTTGAAGCGTAACGTCTGCTGGCCGGCCTTGGAGATGGCTTTGGGAACCTGGCTGCAATCAAGTTCTGGCATGCAAGGGGCGGCACCAACTCAGGTCAGAGTCGGAGCAACAAGAGAACTAGGCCAAAGGAGTGCTTTGAGGCCGTCACGTCGCGTTCCTCATTGAAGCGGACGATCGCTTCATGGTTTTTCTGCAGCACAACCTCAGTGAGCAATGACAAAAGCGTGGATCGATGCAGGCTTCTTCTTAACATAAAAAAAAAAAAAAAAAAAAAAAAAACGAGCCCAAGCTCCAGCTCCCTTTCTGACCCTCCGACGCACGCCGCGCAGCGCGCATCCTTACCCAAGCCCTCGCGGGCAAAAGAGCCTAAGGCCCGGGCTTGCGAGATGCCCAGAACGCCATGGGAGCGAAGGTGCGTCACCTTGAGCGAGCTGAGCGGTTTCCGCCTTTTAAACGGTCTGTCAAGATGTCAAGATGCCAAGATGTCAAGATCTTAAGATGTCAAGATGTCAAAAGAGGAAAAGGAATCATGGCAGCGTTCACCAGCTCGTTCTTCTCCATCTTCTTGGGCAAACCGCTCACCTCGCCGCTCGGCGGACTTGCAAGCTCCCAAACCTCAAGCCCCGCAAGACTCCGCAGGCATCTGAGGTTTCCGACCCAGTGCCAATATGTGATCACCAGTTTGCCATTCGGCTTGGATGTCGGATGCAAGGCTGTGTTCAGGGGGTGTGAGCCTGGTTTCGGACGGCCCAGAGTTGATTCTGGGCTGTCCTCAGATGGACTGCTAATACTTTTCACCGTTTAGTGGGCTAAATGGGGGAAACCCTCCACTAAACCCTAAAAAAAACTAAGACAACTAAGGGGACGGCTGGGAACCGCCAAGCATTGAGGCTGGCTTTCAGGCTGTTCAGGATGGTGCTGAAGCAGGACGCCAGGACTGGGGCTGGGATTCGGCTGGTGGATGCACGGGACGAGTGTCGGTTGCATTGGAAGGGTTCCCGGTCAGACTTGGAGTGGGACACTAACCTGGGTCTGGCTTGGGCTTTGGAGGTGATTAGGATTTAGGGTTTAGGGTGAGGTTCAGGATGGGTGGGGTTTGGCACATGGCGCTTCGGGTTGTGTTTAGGTCGATTCAGGATGAGCGCAGCACTGGAATTCAAATGTCGTGGAGTCAAGTTTTTGAGAGGGCTAAAGTCACTTGACAAGCCATTAAAGAAGTCAGCAAACAATGCTGCAGCGAAAAAGAAAGACGCACTTAGGGCGAAGGGGACACACGAGGCTCCTTTGCTGCCGCGCCGAGCTCCTAATCCAGGTCTGTTGGGCAATGCTGATGGTGATGCTGATGATGATGATGATGCTGGGTGGGTTGCCAAGCCGTGTTTTCAGCACAAAAACTGTCTGAGTTTGTGTGCCGAAAGCTCGCGTCCTGAACGCTCGCGCCGTGCGAGTGGCTCTTTTGCTGCCGCACCGACCAAGCAAGCCAGTTGCAAACACGGCACAGCCCGCAACCTCTCCAAAACCGACACGATAATAAATTTGCGCCTGCAGCAGCTCAGTGGCGCGGGATGCCTATGGTTCATCAGCTCGGAACATGGGATGACCATTGGGTTGCAAACGTTGCCTGTGGAAAACGTTACACATGGCAATGTGGCCCTATGGAATATGTTCCTCAACCCCCCAAATAAACAGTTTTAGTCCAGCATACTGAATATGCAACGGCAGCGCGACACAACACAGCATCATCACCGCAGCACGCTGCACAACACGCAACAACACAGCATCACCACCACAACCACCATCACAATCAGGACCAAGACCACGACAAACAAGACAAACACGAAAGCAGAGGCCAGGCGCATGCGAGGTATGCATTAGGACAGCGATGCCTGCTGTTGTCCATGCCATGGTCGGACCTTTCTCATGCAGCTTTCCGTCAAGCTCTTGCAGCCGCACGAGTACTTTGTTGCAACCAATCTAAACTCCAACTGCGCTGTGTAGTTTTGCACTCGCAGACATGCTGGTTTTGCTTGCACATCAAAGACTGAATCTTGCCTCAAGTCTGTAAGTGTCTACCTCCTGCCTGCCACATGAATAACTAACGGATCAATATAAGAGAACTCGCAGGCTGGAACAGAACACAGAAGGTGAACGAAGCGCATCCCTGCCTCCTTTGCTTTCTTCTCTGCTTTCGTGGCCTGCGACATCCCCGCACATGCAGCCTGCACCTCGCCCTTTGGACCTCTCACATACCGGGCTCTGCGAAACAACGCTCATCTGTTGTTGCCCAACCATCTTCCCCACGCACCATGCACCACCTCAGCCCAACTTCAATGTTCTCAAGCGCTGTGACATCTGAAGCCAAAATAAGTGATTTTTCCGCAGGCGTCAACAAGGCCTGTCCAACTTTCAAGTTGGGGGGCAAGGGGGTTGGCACCGGTTGTCAAAGCGGATTTGGGCAAATGGGAGTGAGTATTGCAGAACCCGGTATGATTTTTTTGTTAACCTTGCTGGGCATCCGTAGCTGCCCAACCACAATCTCTGCACTCCATGAACAGCCTACCCAGCGCTGTTTCCAAAACTGCTCTCCACCTACATCCATTTACAGGACGGCAAACGCTGTTGACATTGCTGTAGTGCCTACTTTGAACGAAAGGGCACCGTTTAGCGTGTCTCTCACCAGCTATTACAATCGTCCTTTTCCGTTCGTCCAAACACAAATAAAGATGATGGATGAGGTGCCGAGTCAAAGAAAGAAGGTTACATTATGATATTAGCACAATCCTGCCAGTTTCTTTTGTAAAGAACTCGTCTTCATCTTCTTCATATCATAACGTCTCACCAACCATGATTAGACTTAGGCCCAGTTCTAGAATGTATACTGTATTGTTTGCTTCCCTTTGAGTCACTGGTAAAATGACAAATGTATCCTAAGTCTACCCAAGCAACGTGCCGCAACAGCAAAGGACCCAAGAATGTCCAGAGCCCTGCCGGCAGGAACTCCAGCATCAGCGGGCGGCCCTCCACTTCCACGCCCTGCGCCTGGTGATACGAAGCGAGGAACCACGCAGCGAAAGCGAAGCCTCTGCTTTCGCTTGGTTTCTCCACTACAACGCGCAACACATTTTCTTCTCACCCGCTTTTGGTGCTGGAAACAATCGGCAACTCTGCAACTCTGCTGGCAACTCATGTGGCTGTGGGTTCCAAGCCTGTACCCTTGGTGAACATCAAAATAGGTGGCAATTGGATGTTCATCCACCCCAAAATGGAGCCATAGGATATGCCCTATGGCCATGTGGGTCTGGGTCAAAATTTTAAACCACCAGGAATCGGTTCAAGCGGGTTTGAGTCCATGCTTCCATTTTTTCCAGGGCAACCCATTTTGGGGTTACCCTACTTTTCGACAACCGCAGCCATGTGGGCAACCGCGTCAAAATGGGGGAAACCCGACAGGGTACCAGAAACGGTAAGCAAGTTTTGTTTAGACTTGTGGTAGACATATTGTTAAAGTTAGAAAAAGTGGAGCTGCAACATTTAATAGTAGATGGGTGTGGCTCAACATTTTTCAGAGCCAGGGTTACGCAGGTGTTGGTCTTTCTGTCCATCCGTTTGGGGCCATTTTGGGTAACCGGGTACACTGTTTTGAGCCACAGCCAAATGCTCTGGGCCCCAAAGCCATCATCATCAGCTGAGCCTTCTCCACCTGACATCGCTGAGAGCTGCGAGGCGCGTATCCATGGTTTGGGCGTCATCCTTTTTGAGAAAACTCCACAACATGGCCTCTCGTTTTTCAAGCTAAACCAAAGGTGAATAAGGACAAGTCAATCTTGTCTGCGCAATTACAAGAATTCCAAGACCGGAAATAAGAGATTCCCAGGTGAAGGGTCGTCATTCTAGGGGTTGATTCATTGTCCATTCCAGTCAGCCATCGTTCTTTTCAAAAACCGATCGCCATTTCCCCAAAATTTTGGGTGGTTTCCTAGAAAAAAGGATCCCTGGAAAGAATGGGGAAGCTACCCCTAGAAACATGGCCTCTCGGTTTTCCCTTTGGTTCACCTTTAAAAAACCAAGAAATTGTTATCCCGCGAGAAAGAAAAAAAAGACAGCCCCCCCGCCCATTTTGGGAAACGATTCATGTCGCCTCCTTGAAGAGGAAGAGCGCAACTTGACCGAAGCGGCTGTCAGCGAGCAAGACCTGGCTGGATCTCTGATTGAGGACTTCGGTTGACATTGAAGTACAAAGGGAAACCACGTTGACCACCCAGTCAAGAGGCAGGCTCGCCGCTAAAAAAGCACGGAAGGCCTCCTTGATGCCGTCCACACCCCACTTGCTGAGGGCCTACGATGCACGCAGGCCACGAGAAACAGTGGCAAGGGTGCGAGAACTGCTGGATTCGGTTGAGGGCGGTCTGTTTTTGGAGCTCCAGGTAGAATTTTCCATCAAGTCGATGCCACTGGCCTTGAGTCCTTCTGGAATAACACCATGGACGCCTCACCCAAAACACACGCGGCCTGCTTCAGGGCGGAGACTGTGATATCTCTGGAGAGGTTGGCGGCCTGGAGATCCACCAAATTCACTGCCTCGTGCATCCGCTAGACTGCTACAGGGGTGGTTCGTCTCTTTTTGAGGCTAGCCATTTTTGGGGTTGTTTTAAAGGAAAACCCAAGGGGAGCAGGCATGAAGCTTCCGTGGAGCCATATTTTTCTCAGCGGAAATCCAAGCCCTGCGAAACAGGAAAAGAACTGCGCAGCAACCCCCCCGAATTGCTTCACATTTGAGTATGGGTCAAAATTAAACCACCAGGGTTTAAGCAGGTTTTAGTCCTTATTTCCATTCACCAGGGCAACCCATTTTGGGGTTACCCCAATTTTGACCCACACCCGCATGGAGGCTGCTGCGGCGATCTGACCTTGACCATAGGCTCTGGTGGCCGCTTGCCGCCTGGCCACACCTCGGGGTGGCTCAATCCGCTCTCGGACGGTGGCTGCACCAAGCTACACGACCTACACATCGAAGATGAGCTTGCTCACGTGCAGACCGACTCTTTTCGAGCAAAGTGGGCAGGGCCATATATGATTCTTGATCATCTGCGTGATTGATTGTTGGAAAGAGGGTAGTGCAGACAAAGTGTGCTGCGATACAAATTGCACTCGACCAAGTGCTCAACCACGCCGGTCGCCTGAGAGAGGGCTGCATCTGGCAACAAGCACAAAATGGCACACTGCGTCTGATGACTTCTGCTTTCACACATCCATAAATGGGTTGGTTTCAAAAGTGGAACGCCCCAAATGCGTGGTTTCGTACACATACTCACACACACACACACACCCACACCCAAATGAATGGCCCATGGATTGCAAATCCTTTGGCCCATGCAGGATCCATACCCGGAAGCAGGCGCGGTGGTGGCGGTGGACGCATGGGCCCCTGACAGCGATTTTTATGTGGCACTCAGACTCAAAAGCACACGCTGACAGGTCCAATTTGTGACCCCCAAGTGAAGGACCTTTATTGTGGTGAGCTCGTTGTAACTGCAGGTGAGCTCGCCATGAAATAGGCAGAATCATCGCGGTTGGAAACATCATTGGCTGGGCAAAGCCCTAGTTCTGCAAAAGCCAAGCGCGGCACAGCCACGCCATGGTACCTGATCGGCCCCGCAGCCCAGCTCTTCTCACGTGTCTGACATGGGGCCCCAGCCCAGCGTATCCATAGGCACCATACATGGGACATGCGGAGCCGCGGAAAGAGACGGACAGAGGGTGCCGGGCACCGGGCTGTTTGATGTCGTGACCTGCTTGCTTTTCATAAGTCCCAGGGACGGGACACTGGAGACAAGGTGGCGCATGAAATGTAAGCTAGTCTTGGGGTGCTGAAGCTGAAAATTGCCTGCTGTGAGCAATGGCTGCAGCTTGTGCTCGTGGTATATCATCAACGGTCTTGACGCCAGGTTCTGCATGCCGTCAATCACAAAGCCGGTCTTTTTACTTGACCGCATACCAGCGATCGCGCACGACCGGTTCAAATCAAAGAATCTCAGTAACATTCTGGCCGCCCGTTTCTACACTTCCACAGATTAACATAGAACCCCAAAAAGGACCATGCTCAATTAGAGGAATCTCCTTTGGGGGGACCCCTTTTTGGGGTCCGTGTCAAATTTGCCGTGTAACCAACACATATTGTATGTTGATATGCCAAGAGCTGCAGGATTTCTCTCTCAATCAGCTTGCGGCCTCAGAGCAGGGATACGGATCTTCGCATGCGCCCGACCCGAGCTGCGGGCGAGGATGACATGCTGCCACGCTTTGCCTGCAGGGCTTTGAACACAAAACCTCGCTCAATTGCTGGTTGCACTCAGTGTCAGGTCCCAGGCCCCCAAGTCGCAATGAGGACAACAAATCAACGCAATGCAACTGAAAGGTCGCGCACCTCCGCCGCTCCTCCCGTTCCCGGCCCTCCCGGCCTCCCGGGCCCTGGAAAGTGAGCGGATGGCAGCGGCATCCCGCGCCATCTCCCTGCACCAAAGCTCCAAAGGATCCGTGTATCGCTTGGATTTCCTCTTGGTTTCCCAAGGGTGCCACCGGTCTTGACACAAAATGTGCCGTTCGCAAAAGAACCTCTGCCCAACAAAACCCTGGACCGCACCAGCTTTAAGCTGTGCCGCATTGGTTCGCCCTGAAAAGCACGAACTGGCACCAACTCCACAAAATGCGTCTCACGCGACTCACTGACTGCCTGGACTTGTCCTCCCACTGCAGGCAAGACCGTGCCACCTGCAACGTGGCTTGCTTGCTTCCATAACACACGGGCCAAAACCGGTCTTGCAGTTTCTGATATATCAGTGTGTCTTGTATGCATACCCGCGTTGCGACCATGCTGTCACTGTGGTGCCCACACCGTGCCCACATCGTACCCACATAAGCTACCAGCCGATTTGTATTTCTGCAACCACTTTCCGGAAAAAATATTTGTTTTTGCGGGCTTGTTTTACAGCGTTTCTTAGATGCCTACACATCAAGCTGTTGAGTGGTCACCTCATGAAAGGTTTTGGAGTGGTGTACGTGGCACTTGTCCGGAGGCTTCGGCATCTTGCAAACTCTTCACAAGATCAGCCAGCTGCTTACGGAAAAAGACAAGCGCAGGCCAAGTTCTCTTCAACGGCACCAGGTTCATGCTTGGAGTACCCTAGGTTGAAGGCCTTTGAGCACCTCCAAGTTGCAATGAATCACCACCAGGTTCTCGCTTTTGGGGGTTCACGATCTTTTTCCATGTGCTGATCAAAGGACTTTGTGCCAGTTGCGCATGGTCGTGACAAAGCGCTGCCAAACTAAGCCGCGCGCCATTAAGATAAAAACCTTGCATGGCATGCACCAGCAGGGCTCAACAAGGCAGAATCAGTGCAAGCACAAATCCCGGGCGGCCGGCAAATATGCAGAAGAGTATCGTGGAGATCAGCGCCATGAACCACATCTTGGCAAGAGACAAACTCCGCCGTCTCTATGGTCGTGCGAAATAACCCTTGTGATACCAAAGTGAGCCATCCCCCGCCACTACGTGCTACTTATCTCACATTTTCAAGTTTTAGGTTCCCAAAAGGGCTGACTTAATTCGCCTGGGCTCAAGAGGGCCAAGGGCGGAGAATCTTTGCTTGTCCCCTTCCCCAACCCTGGAAGATCTTGTCCGGCGGGCCTTGAAACTCATGGACCAATTTTTGTCGAAAACGGGCTGAGAATGACGGAGCTCAGGGCAGGACCAGCATCCCAACCAGGCTTGTCTGACGTGTCTGAAACTAGCTTCAGGCCCAGCCCAACCGACAACCCACCCAAGCCATTTGCGGTGGACGCAGACGCTCCGGTCCGTGGACGCAGACGCTGCGCTGACGCTGAGCTATCACCACATTGGTTGTCGAGACTTTCTGCGCAGCTTCCGGGGATTCCTATGGATTCCTGCGAGACTTCGGCCCATGACATCAATTGGTCCAACAACGCCAGAACCTGTCCATTCCTGAATCGCCACTTGACCAGCTCTGCTACTTGCAGTCGAACCACAAACGCTGCGTGCTCGGCTGGGCCGAGGCGGGCAACGCGCAGCATTTACAATTTTGACTCATACCCGCCTATGTTCCATGGCAGTCCGAGATCTCTAGGCCGCAGGCATCAGGTCCGCAGACTCCGACGTCTATGTCGGGGTGGTTCCCTTCCTGCTTCGAAACAAACTTCGCCCTGGCGAAAGCGTGAGCAAAAGAAAAGCGTGCGTTTCAGAAGCGGCCGGCCCAATGTCCTTCGCCATCTTGGGGTAGCAGTGCCTGAGAAACCGAGGGGGGACCTGAAGTCAAACCCGAGTCAATCTTAGTGAAAAGACCACTCTAGGAACAACTCAACAAGTGATACAAGTAGCCAGTGCTCAATACTTCAGATGACCACAAACATGTTGTGGGACACTCTGCAGTCTCAAATAGAGGCCGCCTTTTGCTCTGACGATTTGATGAGGCACAATACGATATCGGACGTCTGCTCAATGGACTTGATGCACAAGCTTGGCTCCGGGCTGCAAGACTGGACAAGAGCATCCCTCTAGCTTGCATCCACCGCCTGTCAGTCACTTGTGTTTGTGCTGACCTAGCTTGTTGACACCAGCTGAGTACTCAGCTGACACCCTTCCGGATCTGTCCCGCTGCGCGCGTCGAGCTGCTTGTTGAGTGCCCAGTCTACGCTGGAACACGTCTGACATGCATTAAACAATTGAGAGGCGAATGAATGACTTGTGCACATGCAACCAGTTTTGCTCAATGTGTCCCCATTGTGCACCCCTGCGCACCCACTGTCTCGAATCAGCGCAAACTGGCACGCTGCCAACATGGACACAGCCTCTGCTTTTCCTTGCAAGTGCAAGGACACGTGAAGGGGTTTATGCCTGCGTGCAATTGTTGATGCGGTCGATGCGGATGAATGCCGGAGGAATGCACGCGAACGAGCACGAGTGAATGTGAACGCGTGTATACAGACTGCGTACGCGAGTGCACACGGTGCGAGCACAAGTGCAGGGCATCCAAGGCATCCAAGGCAGCCAAGGCAGCCAAGGCATCCAAGGCATCCAAGGCATCCAAAGCATCCAAGACATGCAGTGCGCAAAGCTGCTTAAGCTGGAATTGCAACTAGCTTTCTGTTCCTGCATCACAAAAGTCCATGAGCCATCTGCTTTCTGAGGCGCCGGCTGTATCCGTAACTGTCGTCAAAGCAGGAAGAGAAGACGGAGTCCTTCTGCTTAGGCTCTGCAGGCTCCTAACGCCCCCCCAAAAAAGGAGGACCTGGTAGGCAACACCTGAGTCACAATCAAAACCCGGTATTTAAATGGTCTACCCAGAACCATGTAAAGAATTAAGAAGGCGTCCGCAGCTATTTATGGTTCAGATTATCCCGTACTAAACTTCATCTACCCAGGTTTTGATTGGGGCTCGCCTGGCTTTTTTAGGGGGGAAATCAACTGACTGCCATTTTGTTTGCTGGTTTTGGTCAAGAGAAGTGAACTGAGAAGCACCCTGCCACTGAACATGGCTGACGTTCGGGGGTCCCTTTGAAAGGAGCATCCTCTAGGAGTCCTCGGTCAGGTTCCATGTTCGTTGGTGGGAGTATCAGTATAACTTCCATTTGTTTAAGCCCCTTGGAAAAAACTAGAAATATTTCTAGCAGTGATAGATCCCCTTTGAAATTAAGAGGGAAAACCATATTCTTCAGCAAATGGAAGATCATTGTTTGCGGATCCCCACCTTTCCACTCAGCTTCGCTACCTCTGACCTGGCCGTGAAGCCGCATCGAATCGATCTCAAGCCGACGGGAAAACGAATCGAACTCTATGGCGACGTGCGTAACAAGGTCACTTCAGCATGGCAGGTGGTCTTTTTGCTTGCGCAGCGGTATTTCCTGGCATCCTTGGTGTGAAACCCTTAAGTATCTGATTTGACCAATCGATGGAATTTATTTGACTGCGTTGTTGTGGAATCACGGCTCCACAAAAAGAAAGTCATAGAACTGCTGTCGCTGGGAGATCATCCATAGCAAGCAGAACACAAGCAGTGAATAAGAGGAAACATGAAGAATCGAAGAGACAAAACCATTCGCTCCGCGCCCTGGTTTCACCAAGTGTGGACTAGGGCTATCCAGCCCATCATTACTGTCCAAGAAGTCATCTGAAGGCAGTTCTTTCAGTCCAGGTCTGGCAGACTTTGGCATGCAGCAGGCAAAAAGCAAGGATGTCCAGTCAGTCTCCTGAGTGTCCTCTCCCTGCAAACCTGCGCCTGCGCTTGGGCTGCTTGGGCTCTCAGCATTCTTGGCTGCCCGGTAAATACTGTCTTCTAAATGAGCCACCTGCCGGCCATGCGGAAGCAGAAACGCGTAGGCCATGCCCAGGAGCTTCCGGGCGTCTGGCTTCCATCGCTCGCCCACGCCGTGGTATCCGCCACGGATCTCCAGGGGCAGGTCATCGGATCGGAAGCCAAAGCGCTCCAGCAGAGGATGCTCCTCGGTCTCCATGTCGATCTTGGAGCGCGTGTTCTCATCCACAAACCACATGACCTGGCGCACCAAGGACACAAAAGTGGACGGCACCGGGTATATGATGGCCAGCTTCAGCCGCTCCGGATAGTTGTTTTGGAAGAACTTCACCATGACGTGCGCCCAAGCGACAGGCGGCGGGCAGCCAAAGACTATAGCGCTCATTTGTTGGGCTCCACACGGGTCTAGGGATCCAATGGCATCCTCAAAAAAGCGCAGGGACGCGAGCACCAAGGCAGTCTGAGGGATGTCATCCGGGGCGAACTCGCCAAAGAGAAAATTCACAAGAAGGACTGGGCAGCCATCGCTGTCGCGTCGCAAACGGCGAAAGCGGACCTCCTCATCGAGCAAACGTGCAACCAAGCCTGCTTTGGGAATCGGAAAAACGCTGCGGCGCCATGCCAAGTGTTCCACGAACATCTTCTTGGCTGCCTGCAAGTTACCCTTCCGCGCCACGATGAAGCGCTGCAATCCGGCATCGTTGCCTGCTGGGGAGCTTTGCCAAGGCTGCTCGTCACCATCCACTGTCCTGTAGGGTGGCAATTGCTCTCTGCACAGCTCGCTGCGCAATCTGTATACGCCTTCGGAGAGCCCTGCCCGCCAGTCTTCCATTGGAAAGCCGGCAACCGGTCTCACACATAGCAAAATCACGACCTCTCTTGAGCACGCCTGGCTGAGTTGGATCGAACATGTAGAGAGCATGCCATCTCAAGTGCTGAGGATAGCTTTGGCAGGCAAGGAAGGTTCATGGCAATTGAGGAGGACCTAAGAAAGGCGCAAAGTGGCCTTTGCAACCAAACATCAATCCTGATGCAGATCCAAGGGAGCGACTGGGGGCCAAAAGATCTCTACAGTGGATTCACTTCTGTAGATTGCGACCGCTGGACGATAGAAAACTCGGCAGCCCGGCATGAGGCTCTGCACAGCAATGTGCGAACCTGCTCAAAGCTTCAGCCACCCCACCCCTATTACTTCGTGATACAGGGCTTGAAGAAGACGACAATCGGTTGCATAGGTTTTGTTACAGCTCCGCCTACCCGTATGCTCGCTCTGTCAAGATTGGGGAATGCCTTGGTGTAGTCCTGGATTGGGGAAGCGAGGAGGGTTCTAGCTCTCTGCTTATTGACCGCCTCAAAGATGAGGCCCAGAACAGCGTGCGAACACTCTTGATTCTAGCTTTGAACTATTTGTGAATTGTCAACAAACCACTCAGGAGCAATGTCAACAGCTGCATTTGAAACTTGGCTTCGGCGTTTGCAGGATCTCACTGGTGGATCCTTGAGTCGGAAGCTGTTGAGCCTGCATTTGTTTGCAACATGTACGAGTAGGAGCAAACACCTGCGTTTGTCCTTCTTGCTTTTGCAGAAGGGGCTTGCCTCCAGGCTTTGCATCAAGTCTGGTTGTGAGAGTCTGTTGCAGAGATGTGGCCTGTCTACTTGAGCTATGCTTTGCCAGCGATTCCAAATGCAGGTTTGCCCCTGATTCCCCGTCGCACGTAAGCTTGCTACAATTCTGCTTGGTACCATCATGTCTGTAGGAATTTTGGAGGTCTCCACGGGGCGCCTGACAGGTTCAAGACTTGCCTGGCTTCCATGGGCGTCAAATTGCTCAAGAACATCCCCTTTTTATCAAGTTGTTGGTCTGTGCATGTCTTTGAGCGAGTTGGCAATACGGTAACATGCGGTGCATTTGCCGTTTGTGGGATCGAACGTCTCTACAGTTTCGCTGGACTCAAAAAACACACACCATCTGGCCCTGATCACTCTGGAATCCGCAACAAGCTCATGCATGAGCCTTCACAAAGTCCAACACAAAGCAACGGGATTACCGGAATTTCCAAGCCGAGCCGCTGCGTTCTTCGTGACGCCGTGACATCTCCATGAATTCTTGGTCAAGCCTTGTGCTTGAGACATAAGTGACTCGGCTTTCTTTTGAGTCTCGGCACCTTCTTCTTTTGGTGGTAGAGGGAAACCACGACAACAACCGCAGCCCTTTTGGGGGGTTCCCACTTGACGAAAAACACCCGGTGGCATGAACCACAATCAGCACCTTGCACATTTTTCTCGGTGGTAGAGGGAAATCACGACCAAAACCAAAGCCCAAGAAAAACACCCCATGGCATGAACAAAGCCTCACCTTGCGCATGGACCTGGAGACTGAAACGAGCACAAGCACTGAGGCTCAGGCTCTGAGCCTGTCTCCCGCAGAGCCCATGTCCTCCATATCAGCAGGCTGAGTCCTGCGCGAGGGGGTCCTTTGCCACCCATGTCTGTGAAACTATCCCATACTGCTGGGGGTCCTTTTGATTTCCCGAAAAAGCAACCGTAAAAATAGTACCCTTGAAAACTTACACATACACTTTCACGATCCAAGTCTTGCACCCATCGCCCTCAACTCGCTTCCTGCTAGCAGCATAAGGCTCCGGACAAGTTGTGCAAGTGCATGAACCAAATCTATCTGAAAACCATCACCTGCCTTTCACAATGGACTTAAGCTGAGCTTGAAGATTGCTTTAAGAAATCGCATGGCACAGCTTTTGGTGCAAGTGCCAAAGCGCCACACCAAAAAAAGGGGGGCGTTCGTTGACCTGAAGGGGGAGCGGGCCCCTTGACACAGCCGAAGCTTTGCGGCGGGCGGCGGTTCCAATGGCAATGAAACGGAAGATTCTCAAAATGGAGGACCCCGTTTGATAATTCAGGGAAACAAAAGGGAAGCCAACCATTTTAGGGAGCAATCCTATTTTGAGAAACCTCTCTTGAAACTTCCGGTCGCGCTCAGCAAGGGCTGGCAGTTTGTCCACTCTGCTTCTTTTTCGGCAACCTTCGCGCGCTTGGCTGGCATCCCTTCAGAAGCAACCTGCCACCGGGGAACCCGAAATCTTCGGAATTGCGCGCAATCGGATTGCTTAGCCGCCTGTCGAGCTTGAACAGCAGCTTGCAAGCGTTGCAGCGTTCGGCGTTCGGCCAGTCGCACTCGCAGCGCATTGAGGCGGCGCACAGCCTCGGCGATCGCGAGGCAGAACTTGCTCGATGTAAATTTGGCAACCAAATCCATGGCGCTGCATAGGTCAAGTCACTCTGATTGCATCTCCTGCTTTGCTCTCTGCACACCTCATGCATGCAGAAGTATAAGACTGTTCATGCAAAATGCAAGGCTGCAATCAGCCACTCGATCTGACACGTACGCTGAGTGCAGAATCGCGAACGAAACTCCGCGGTTCGGAACCCAGCCTGGCTTCGGCCTCCAAAAGTGCCTGCAGCAAGGCGCGTTTCTTTAGCGGGAAACCTTCTGCTACGCATTCGGGAACCAAAAGAGGCCGATCCTGAACAGGATTGTGGGATCAAGGGTTTTCTCCCCACTTCTGTGATACAAGGGAAGCTCCCCCTTTTATTTGAGGGGGTAGTCTTTTGGAAGCCCTTTCTGTTGTATCACAGAAGTGGTCATTTCTCACAGCCCTGATCCTGAACGATGTGATCCTTTCCGATCCGCAAAGACTTCTCACGTGCTTGGCTGAGTCTGCCTTCTCGTCACACTCCAAGGGAGTCTGGTAGCGCGAGATCGCAATGCCTCGACAGGACTCGCCCAACATCTTTCAATCAACGGTAAGCGTGGAATCGCAATGTTAACTTTGGATTAAATCCGGCGGACCGTACTAATCAGAGGCAAGTGGTGCCCTTTTACTCAAGAAATGATCTGTTCTAGGGGGTCCTCTAACAAGTAGGGCCCCCCAAAAACGGATTCATCCGAACTCGGTTGCTTTCTGCTCCCCTGCTATAAGTGTAACTTTCAGTGGTGTGATACGGAAAACCCATGAGTTGGCAAAAAGTTGAAGTCCCAACCTCCCTTGGCAAAATGCAACAGAGCGAAGTCAACGTCGACTTCCTGCGACGGCACCAGGCGCCTTTCAGGGCCCGGAGCACCACCGCCAGCGCTTCAGCTTGCAGCTCGCCAGCCTCAGCCCAGGCGTCGTGGAGGCTTCCGGGACCTCCTGCGCGAGGCGCTCGCCGCTCGCTCGCTCGCTCGCGCCCCCCCGGGCTGAGCGCTGGAGGGGAAACCGCCAAGTGGCCGTGTGGTAGCGTAAGCACTGGGAAGGCCCCAGTTCAGTGCGGAAACCACCAACCAGTGTCTGAGTTTTGACAAGACACAGCCCAAATCCAAAAAGTCAGATTCGCATCAACAGCTGGCCAACTGGCCAAAAAGTTGCAGCCCAGGAACCGTTCTCCATCAACTGCTGCCAGCGCTCCTGCGGAGCTAGGCATCGCTTGTGGCTAACTTTGCTCGGCTCGGCTTCTCGCCTCATCCAAGAGCAAACCGGAGAGCAGCGTCACGGTCTTGGCCGGAATGCCGCACCTGAGCAACACCCCGTCTGAGCAGCACAGAGCTTGCGTGTTTTTCAAGGTGCCCTTTCCACCTTGGCCTAACACCAAAAGGACAACTAGAACTAGGAAACATGGTTGCCCCCAATTGTGACCTTTCCACCGGCCTAAAACCAAAAGGAAAACAGCCAAACATGGGAACCCCGATTTTGACATGTGCCCCTATGGCGCCACCAACGTCATTCTTTGGCCAGGTCATGAAATGCCGCTGGCAGCACCCCAGTAAGGGCATCGCTGCTCTCAGGCAAGCTGGCCGGGCGCTCAAACAGCTCAGTCGGCCCTTCAAGTCTGCGCTGCCACGGCCTCAACGGAGAGCAGCTTCCATTGCACCATACTTCGGGCGAATTCAGCTTCCCCCTATGGTGTGGTGGTTTGGAGGTTCGGGGCCATTTTCAGGTGGTACAAGTCAGTGCAAGTGGCTGTCAGCAAACCTTCAGCTTCCCAATTGGTGGTTTGGTGGGTACGTTCGGGGCCACCTCTCCTGGCTTCGAAAAAGGAATCCCAAACCAGCAATCGAATCCACCAATTAGGGGCGACCGGAAACCTTGCAAAGTTTCAAGCCCGGCAAAAAAAACAAAAAACAAACGTGAGAAAAACATCCCACGGAAGCGCACCTTGGGAATGCCTCTCCTCCTCAACTGCTGCCAGGAACTCTGCAGGCAGGACCACAAGGCAGTCATGCTCGTTGGGCCAGCACGTGAAGCCTGCGTTGAAAAGCCTGCGCGCTTCGCCGCGGCCGAACGTCGAACCTAGTGGAAGAACGGTGGGTGTGTCACGCTCATTGTCGGCTTTGGAATGCAAACCGCAGAGATGCCACTCACTTTAGGGATTCCCCAATTTTGACTCCAACCCACGTTTCGTTGCCCTCACGCGCGTCACAGCTCAATAAAACAAGGCACAGCTCTGCATTCGAGAAGTGTCCGTAGCAGATCAGGAGCTCTTCGCCTAGCACAAAACGCTGCCCGACAGTGGAGCTTCAAACAGTAGGTAGTTGTTTCTGCTCGAGTTGGCAAGTCCAACCCCAGGTTGGGGTGGGGTGAGAGATGATTGTGTATATCTCTATATATATAAATATGTTATACGCATACTCTAATATATATATATATGTTTATTAATTTATATTTTCATGGTCACCCCCCCCATGATCTACCTTTTGCTTTTCAAGTCTTTTAAAGTAAGTAGCACTTGTGTATTCACAGCGTTTAGTGCCAGACTGCCTGGCGTTGTTGTTTTAGAGTTGTGAACTGATGCTCAGGGGTCTTAGTCTGAGTCGGCAATCCCCTTTGAGTTGAGCATGTCTGAAAAGCTTGTTTTACTTGTTTAACCATAGCTTTCCGCGCTTCACAGTTACCAAGAGCAAACAACACTGATTGGTTTGCACGATGAGCAAACATATGACAATGTTGGGCCATGTTTGTTAGCTTATGCAACTACATTTGATGTGGAAACTACCGCCTACATGTATAGTACAAAGCAACCAGAAACAGATGCGTGAGAAAACCGAAAACCGAACAAAGCAAATGGGCAAGGGAAACCAGCAGACCCAAATGATCGAGAACACACAAGCAACCAGCAACGACAACTACGTCGGCAACGACAACAACCTCAACAACCTCAACAACGGCAACAACGACAACGATGGCAACAACGACGACGATGACAACAACAACAACAACAACAACAACAACAACAACAACAACAACAACAACAACAACAACAACAACAACAACAACAACAACAACAACAACAACAACAACAACAACAACAACAACAACAACAGCAGCAGCAGCAGCAACAACAACAACAACCACGACGACGACGACAACAGCAACAGCAGCAACAACAACAACAGCAGCAGCAGCAACAACAACAACAACAACAACAGCAACAACAGCAGCAGCAGCAGCAGCAGCAGCATCAACAGCAGCAGCAGCAACAACAACAGCAACATCAACAGCGGCAGCAGCAGCAGCAGCAACAACAAAAAAGTCACAACCAACAACAACAAACAACAACAAGCAACAACAAACAACCACAAACAACCACAAACAACCGCAAGCAACCACAAACAACAAAAAGGTAACACACATCAACAAACAAGCACAATCAACCACAAACAACAACAAACAAGCACAAACAAGCACAAACAACAGCAACCATGAGATTGAATCACACTTGTTGTCTGCTTTAAAACGACTCATGGTGCTTTATGATATATTGGTCAACCAAACATATTCATATTCAACACAAATGCGCAAAAGAAAGATCACGGGGGGCTCGGCAAATTCATTTGTAAATTGTACGTACATTTGCTTGTCAAGGGAGGAGCCTTGAAATGCCATCATATGCTGTACTGCTCAAGCCTTTGTGTATTGTTGCGAATCAACTCATCAGCACTCATTGGTGACGTTGCCAGTAACGCTCCGGCCAGAGCTTCCAGCCGTGGGGAAAAAGCTGAAGCTGCAAGCCTTTTCTAGCAAATGTTGGATCTGTGTTCAATGGGCCTTTCCACGAGTTCATGATGAGGATGTGAGCTCAAAGAGCGTCACATCCAACGGCCTTGTTTGCACAAGCCCAGGAGTTTCTCTGCAGGGCGAGATCAAAAGGCGCGTGATCTGCAGCTTTACCTTGCCGGGCATCGTGAAGTCACAGCTCAAGAAACGTGTAGAGCTGCTGTCGCTGGGAGATCATCCAAAGCAAGCAGTACAGAAGCAGTGAGTATAAGGAAATATGAAGAATCGAAGAGGCGAAACCAGCAGCTCCGCTTTCTGGTTTCACCAAGTGTGGGCTATCCAGCCCATCATTACTGTCCAAGAACTCATCTGAAGGCAGTTTTCTCAGTCCAGGTCTGTCCGACTTTGGCATGCAACAAGCAAAAAGCAAGGATGTCCAGTCCTCCTCGGTCTTCTCTCCCTCGAAGCCTCCGCCCGAGCTTGGGCTGCTTGGGTCATTGAAAGCTTTCTTGGCTGCTCGCTTCAGACTTTCTTCCAAGTGTGCGATCTGCCGGCCATGAGGCAGCAGAAACGCGTAGGTCATGCCCAAGAGTTTCCTGGTATCTGGCTTCCACCGCTCTCCCACGCCCTCAACTCCCCCCCGGATGTTGAGGGGCAGGTCATCGGTTCTGAAGCCAAGCAGATCCAGCAACGGACGCTCCTCAGACACCAGCTCGATTTTGGAGCGCGTGTTCTCATCCACAAACCACAAGACCCGGCGAAGCAAGGCCACAAAATGGGAGGGCAGCGGGTATATGACGCCAAGCCTCAGCCGCTCCGGATAGTTGTTTTGGAAGACTTTGACCATGACCTGGGCCCAGGCAACTGGCGGCGGGCCTCCAAACACGATCGCGGTCAGTTGTTGTGGGCCGCCAAGCGGATCCAGTGAGTCAAGTGCATCCTCAAAAATGCGCAGGGACGCTAGCACCAAGGCAGTCTCAGGGATGTCATCCTGGACGAACTCACCAAACAGAACATTCACAAGAAGAACTGGACAGCCATCGCTGTCGCGCCGCAAACGGCGAAAGCGGACCTCCTCATCGAGCAAACGTGCAACCAAGCCTGTTTTGGGAATCGGAAAAACGCTGCGGCGCCATGCCAAGTGTTCCACGAACATCTTCTTGGCTGCCTGCAAGTTACCCTTCCGCGCCACGATGAAGCGCTGCAATCCGGCATCGTTGCCTGCTGGGGAGCTTTGCCAAGGCTGCTCGTCACCATCCACTGTCCTATAGGGTGGCAATTGCTCTCTGCGCAGCTCGCTGCGCAATCTGTATACGCCTTCGGAGAGTTCTGCGCGCCAGTCTTCCATTGGAAAGCCGGCAACCGGTCTCACACATGGCCAAGGCGCGTGCTCTCTTGAACATAATGCCCCGAGTTGAGCCAAGGTTCTTGTCAGAACAGGATGCATGGCGAGTGTGACTTGCAGTGACTTGCATCCCCAACTATGCGTCAGCCAGCACTGCCCTACCATTTCTCTGGCACCATCGGCCCTACCAAAACGATCAGCATCAACAGTGGCAGCCTCACCCTCCCAACCTCACCAGCCGTAGTCACGACTTACCAGACTCGACCGCAGCACCAAACACCACAGGAAACCGTTTGCACCGCTTTTCTCTGTAGCTTCCTCAGCTGGACTCATAAATCACCTTCCAAAAATACGATGCTGCCGGAAAGTGCGTCGGACCAGAAAACAGGGTGACGGCGCAGGCGCCAGGCAACGCACTGCGTCATGGGCAGGGTAACAAAGAAATCACATGTCTTGGGAACGACTGGATGTCCAAAACTTCTTAGCTGGAAAGAGTGGACACGAGCCTGACAATCCTCACTGCGACCACACAAAACGACGGTGCTGCCAATGCTGGTACAACTCACTGAAATCATACATTAGAGGCTCAGAACCTACATTTGACGTTTGTTTACTGCATTCTGGAACATCAGGATTCCCCCGCTGCCTCTTCCCAACGTCACTGGAATGAACCAGGCAGTTTGCGGCATGTCTGGAAAACAAACTTGATTGGCCCATCATGCAATCCGGAAAGCCCGCTGTAAGGTTGGAATCAAGCTTGGAGTTCTGCATAGAGTCCACTACACATGTTCTGGATGAACATGTGAGTCTGACTGCGTGTATCTTCGAGGGTGCCCATGTTTTACAATGGAGGGTTTGAAGGGAAGCTTGTCGTGTTGAGGGTTCCAATTTGAGACAAACCCATATTTGCAACTTTGAATGGCAAGAGGGCCTTTTGGCAACTCTGCCCTTTCCAGCCTGCTTCGATGTCGTATTGGGTGACCTCGACGCACGGTCAAATGAACCAAATTGATCAGCTAAACCCAATACTTGACCTGTCAAAAATATTCAGCTCACATTGCAGCAAGGCACCACCTCAATGGCGTCTGAGTGCTGAATCACCTCGCAGTTGGCATTGGATGGCGAATGGTTGAAGCAGTCCGCGATGGGAATCAAGACGGTTCCACCTGCCGGTGGTTGACCCATAACTGTCAAAGATGCAAGTATTTGCAAAGATAGCGTGCCGGCAATGCATGAACGAGAGGCTGTCATGCAAAGAAAAAGAAACAATCCTGGCTGGCACAAACAATGCTTGCTGTATTCGCAACACAACTTGAAATTACTTGAAATGGGTGGCTCTTTGAATTTGGTGGCGGGAGTCAGGCGACAACCCAGCCAGTTCCAACCGAGGGTCCTTGAGACGCGGAGTGAGCGCGACTTTGCACGGAGGCACCAGCCCAGCGCAAATCCGCGTCGCTGGGCATATGTGGCCAGAAGCTTTCCAGCTGGTCCACGGCCCTAGTCCGGACCAGGCGCGTGCCGTGTGTGTGTGTGTGTGTAAGTGTGTGTAAGTGTGTGTAAGTGTGTGTAAGTGTGTGTAAGTGTGTGTAAGTGTGTGTAAGTGTGTGTAAGTGTGTGTAAGTGTGTGTAAGTGTGTGTAAGTGTGTGTGTGTGTGTGTGCGTGCGTGCGTGCGTGCGTGCGTGCGTGCGTGCGTGCGTGCGTGCGTGCGTGCGTGTGTGTGTGTGTGTGTGTGTGTGGGTGGGTGGGTGGGTGTGTGTGTGTGTGTGTGTGTGTGTGTGTGTGTGTCTGTGTATCTGTATATGTATATGTATGTGTATGTGTATGTGTATGTGTATGGTGTGTGTGTGCGAATGGGGCGCTATGTTGATTGCAAAACATCCTTCTGTTGGATTGCACTGGCTCTCTCTCTCTCTCTCTCTCTCTCTCTCCCCGTCTCTTTCAATTTCAAAAAATATGCGGAACAAACAGGCCTGTGATGAGATAGATGCACATAATGGATTTGAAGATCTGAAAGGCCAGGGCTGAAACTGTTGCTCCAAGTATGGTCTTAGGCTTGTGTCGAACAAGCTATCTTTACCACGAGGGCTATCAGCAAGCCGTTGAAGGACAAGTTCAATCTGTGGACATTGCGGGGGCCAGCCACGTGGAATAACAAAATAACGATGCCTTCAAAAGGTGTACAAATTGCGACTTCTACCATGCACAAAGCAGGTGGGTGCAACAAGATTGGGGCCACAGTGCTGCAAGTAGCCTGAAGTAGCCTGAAGTAGCCTGAAGTATAAGAAATGCAAAGTGTCGAGACGCGGACTTGAACTGGAGTCTGCACCCTCCCTAACGCCAGCCAAACCTGATTTGCGTGACCACCCCAGCACAAAAGCAAACATCCGCAAGATTGAAGTGTGCAAGTTTGAAGCTTAGAATGCGTGCTGCGGAACTTAACTTTTCTAAGCGTTGTCTGTTTAAAATGTCCTGACGGATTCCAAGATACGCCAGAGGCAGCATCTTCACAAAACGATGCGCTGCCTTTGCGAGGCCAAGCTTAGCGTCTGTTGAAGATGCATGGGATTCAGATCTCACACAGATTCAACTAGTGTGTCCAGGGTGTCAAGGTGTGTCAGGTTTGGCCATATATATATATATGCAGCGTATTGCCTGCAACGCATCTGTGAGTTGCAGGAGTTCGCCGCCGGTGGCTTTTGAAGCGGAATTGTTTATGTTGAGGTTTCTGCGCTGGAAACGAGAGGGGGTCGTAACCACGACAAAAACGCGATTTTGTTACCATGACAAGGTGCAATGTTACCACGGCAGAAAAAAAGCGTTACAGCGACATGTTTCTTGCGGGCTTATCCCGACAAGCAGGGAAATAGAAAGGAATAAGAAGGCATGAGAAGGTCAATAAGAAGGAATAAGAAGGAATAAGAAGGTCAATAGAAAGGAATAAGAAGGAATAAGAATGTGAATAGAAAGGAATAAGAAGGAATAAGAAGGTGAATAGAAAGGAATAAGAAGGAATAAAAAGGTCAATAGAACGGAATAAGAAGGAATAAGAAGGTCAATAGAAAGGAATAGGAAGGAATAAGAAGGTCAATAGAAAGGAATAAGAAGTCAGTAGAAAGGAATAAGAAGGAATAAGAAGGTGAATAGAAAGGAATAAGAAGGAATAAGAAGGTCAATAGAAAGGAATAAGAAGGAATAAGAAGGTCAATAGAAGGAATAAGAAGGAATAAGAAGGTCAATAGAAAGGAATAAGAAGGAATAAGAAGGTCAAGAATGTGAAGAATAGAAATGAGAATAAGAAGGAATAAATAGAAAGACAATAATAGAAGAATAAGAAGGAATAAGAAGTGATAGAAGGAATAAGAAGGAATAAGAAGGTCAACAGAAAGGAATAAGAAGGAATAAGAATGTAAGATTAATAGAAAGGAATAAGGAATAAGAAGGCCAAGAAGGAATAAGAAGGTCAATAGAAAGGAATAAGAAGGAATAAGAAGGTGATTAGAAAGGAATAAGAAGGAATAAGAAGGTCAATAGAAAGGAATAAGAAGGTCAGTAGAAATGAATAAGAAGGAATAAGAATGTGAATAGAAAGGAATAAGAAGGAATAAGAAGGTCAATAGAACGGAATAAGAAGGAATAAGAAGGTCAATAGAAAGGAATAAGAAGGTCAATAGAAAGGAATAAGAAGGAATAAGAAGGTAAATAGGAAGGAATAAGAAGGAATAAGAATGTCAATAGAAATGAATCAGAAGGAATAAGAATGTCAATAGAAATGAATAAGAATGTGCATAAAAAAAGAATAAGAAGGAATAAGAAGGTCAATAAGAAGGAATAAGAAGGAATAAGAAGGTCAATAGAAAGGAATAAGAAGGAATAAGAAGGTCAATAGAAAGGAACAAGAAGGAATAAGAATGTCAATAGAAATGAATAAGAATGTGAATAGAAAAGAATAAGAAGGAATAAGAAGGTCAATAAGAAGGAATAAGAAGGAATAAGAAGGTCAATAGAAATGAATAAGAATGTGAATAGAAAAGAATAAGAAGGAATAAGAAGGTCAATAGAAAGGAATAAGAAGGAATAAGAAGGCCAATAGAAAGGAATGAAATGATTAAGAATGTGAATAGAAAGGAATAAGAAGGCATGAGAAGGTCAATAAGAAGGAATAAGAAGGAATAAGAAGGAGATTAGAAAGGAATAAGAAGGAATAAGAAGGTGAATAGAAATGAATAAGAAGGAATAAGAAGGTCAATAGAAAGGAATAAGAAGGGATAAGAAGGTCAATAGAAAGGAATAAGAATGAATAAGAAGGTCAATAGAAAGGAATAAGAAGGAATAAGAAGGTCTAAGAAGGTCAATAGCAAGGAATAAGAAGGCCAATAGAAAGGAATAAGAAGGAATAAGAATGTGAATAGAAAGGAATAAGAAGGAATAAGAAGGTCAATAGAAAGGAATAAGAAGGAATAAGAAGGTCAATGGAAAGGAATAAGAAGGAATAAGAAGGTCAATAGAAAGGAATAAGAAGGAATAAGAAGGTCAATAGAAAGGAATAAGAAGGAATAAGAAGGTCAATAGAAAGGAATAAGAAGCTCAGTAGAAAGGAATAAGAAGGAATAAGAAGGTGAATAGAAAGGAATAAGAAGCAATAAGAAGGTCAATAGAAAGGAATAAGAAGGAATAAGAAGGTGATTAGAAAGGAATAAGAAGGAATAAGAAGGTCAATAGAAAGGAATAAGAAGGTCAGTAGAAAGGAATAAGAAGGAATAAGAAGGTGAATAGAAAGGAATAAGAAGGAATAAGAAGGTCAATAGAAAGGAAAAAGAAGGAATAAGAAGGTGATTAGAAAGGAATAAGAAGGAACAAGAAGGTCAATAGAAAGGAATAAGAAGGTGAATAGAAAGGAATAAGAAGGAATAAGAAGGTGAATAGAAAGGAATAAGAAGGAATAAGAAGGTCAATAGAAAGGAATAAGAATGAATAAGAAGGTCAATAGAAAGGAATAAGAAGGAATAAGAAGGTAAATAGGAAGGAATAAGAAGGAATAAGAATGTCAATAGAAAGGAATAAGAAGGAATAAGAAGGTGATTAGAAAGGAATAAGAAGGAATAAGAAGGTCAATAGAAAGGAATAAGAAGGAATAAGAAGGTGTTTAGAAAGGAATAAGAAGGAATAAGAAGGTGAATAGAAAGGAATAAGAATGAATAAGAAGGTCAATAGAACGGAATAAGAAGGAATAAGAATGCCAATAGAAAGGAATAAGAAGGAATAAGAAGGTGATTAGAAAGGAATAAAAAGGAATAAGAAGGTCAATAGAAAGGAATAAGAAGGAATAAGAAGGTCAGTAGAAAGGAATAAGAAGGAATAAGAAGGTCAATAGAAAGGAATAAGAAGGAATAGGAAGGTCAATAGGAAGGAATAAGAAGGAATAAGAACGTCAATAGAAAGGAATAAGAAGGAATAAGAATGTGAATAGAAAGGAATAAGAAGGAATAAGAAGGTCAGTAGAAAGGAATAAGAAGGAATAAGAAGGTCAATAGAACGGAATAAGAAGGAATAAGAAGGTAAATAGGAAGGAATAAGAAGGAATAAGAAGGTCAATAGAAAGGAATAAGAAGGAATAAGAAGGTCAGTAGAAAGGAATAAGAAGGAATAAGAAGGTCAATAGAAAGGAATAAGAAGGAATAAGAAGGTCAGTAGAAAAGATAAGAAGGAATAAGAAGGTGAATAGAAAGGAATAAGAAGGAACAAGAAGGTCAATAGAAAGGAATAAGAAGGTCAGTAGAAAGGAATAAATAATAATAGTAATAATAGTAGTAGTAGTAATAGTAGTAATAGTAGTAGTAGTAGTAATAGTAGTAGTAGTAATAGTAGTAATAGTAGTAATAGTAATAGTAGTAATAGTAGTCCTAGTAATAATAGTCCTAGTAATAGTAATAATAGTAGTAGTAGTAGTAATAGCAGTAATACTAGTAGTAATAGTAGTAATAGCAATAATAGTAGTAGTAGTAGTAATAGCAGTAATAGTAGTAGTACTAGTAGTAGTAATAGTAGTAGTAGTAATAGTAGTAATAGTAGTAGTAGTAGTAGTAGTAATAGCAGTAATAGTAGTAGTAGTAATAGTAGTAGTAGTAGTAGTAGTAGTAATAGCAGTAATAGTAGTAGTAGTAGTAATAATAGTAATAGTAGTAGTAGTAGTAATAATAGTAATAGTAGTAGTAGTAATAGTAGTAATAGTAGTAGTAGTAATAGTAGTAGTAGTAATAGTAATAGTAATAGTAGTAATAGTAGTCCTAGTAATAATAGTCCTAGTAATAGTAGTAATAGTAGTAGTAGTAGTAGTAATAGCAGTAATAGTAGTAGTAGTAGTAGTAGTAATAGCAGTAATAGTAGTAGTAGTAGTAATAGCAGTAATAGTAGCAGTAGTAGTAGTAATAGTAGTAGTAGTAGTAGTAATAGTAGTAGTAGTAGTAGTAATAATAGTAATAGTAGTAATAGTAGTAGTAGTAGTAGTAGTAATAGCAGTAATAGTAGTAGTAGTAGTAATAATAGTAATAGTAGTAGTAGTAGTAATAATAGTACTAGTAGTAGTAGTAGTAATAATAGTAATAGTAGTAGTAGTAGTAATAATAGTAATAATAGTAATAGTAGTAGTAGTAGTAGTAGTAGTAGTAGTAGTAGTAGTAGTAGTAGTAGAAGCCTTGTCGGGATAGTCTTCACTGAAACTTGTCGGTGTAACAAGATTCTTTGTCGTTGTAACAATGACCTTTGTCGTTGTAACAGGTTCTTTGTCGTGGTTACGACCCTCTCTAGGTTTCAAGTAATTAGCTCCCGAAGGCGCTAGCAGTAGTAGCTGCGTTCTCAAACACAGAATGAGTTGCTGTGGAAATTAATTGCCCAGGGATGTCCTGCCTTTTTGGTTGTTTACTTGTAAGTGACAAGTTGCCCTGTGGAACAATCTGTGCACAAACTGGATGGACATATCGTTGCTCTGTTGCCAACTCACGCTCGACTTGCAGGTAGGGTGGAATTTCTCTCTTGCCCGATGGTTCAAAGCTGTATGCAACGGACTTGGGAGTGTCCTCTTTTCAGGAACTCCCTTTTGGGGCGCTTTTAAAAGAGAAACCAACAGGACATCCAGCATTTTGGGGGGCACCCAGGGCACCCCTATCTGGAGACACAGCCATTGAACAGGATGCCTCACGCGGCGCCCGAGAAAATTCGCCTCCGCATGGCAAGAAGGCCATCTGCGCTGGCTAGACCTTCTCCAATCAGCGAGACTCCGGTGCCCTTGTAGATCCAAGGCTCATCCTCGATGAGAGTTGGGGAAGGGTGGTTGGGGAAGGGTGGTTGGGGGGGGGGTTGGGGGGGGGGGGGGGGGGGGGGGGGGGGGGGGGGGGTTGCGGGAGTTGGGGGTGTTGGGGGGGTTGGGGGTGTTGGGGGCTTGGGGCCAAGAGAGAGGAACAACCACTCCATAAGCTCTCAGTTCTCAACAAAGCCCATTGCGGGCAACAGGAACCCCAAGTCACGAAAAGAACAACCAAACACAACCAGTGGGAGAACCTCAATGTGAGAGAATCTTACCGCCAAGCTAAGGTTCTCCCATCGCCTCGCTGTGCTTTGAGTGAGTGGCATCTGTGCTCCAGGGGGGCGGCGTGTCTAGCAGCGGCATGGTGGGGTAGGACTCTGGAAGAATGTCCTGCCAACCAAAGGTATGACTTTGATAGCTTGGGAGACTTTGATAGCTCTACCACCTTCCACCGAGTTCCCAAGGAATACACTGAATCCGCAAATGTCCAAGTCCCCGACAAAAAAACAAAAAACATGCGACCTGCAAAAGCTGGTGGGGACCGTGTCAAGACCTCAAATGGTGCTTGGCTCCGTCCAGATACGCGGCGAAGGAGGAGTTCGCACCACGGAGTCGCTCGCGGCAAAGGAGCAGCGCTACAAGCAGACTGCCTCGCGTGAGGCACAAAGCCTCAAGCCAGCTGTTGCTACGTCCGCAAAAAAAAAATGGATGAAAGCCTATGGGATAAAACCTACCCAGGATTTTGATTGATTTTGGCCATCCACATTGGTTGAGCACTTGGGGGTCGCTGTTGCCACTGGATCGCTACAAAGAAATCCTGGCGCGTCAGCTGCCGGCCTGGCTGCGAGGCCCCCGCCTCCGCAAAACTGACCGACTGTGGCTTGCTTTGAGGGCTGCAAACCTGCAGGTCTGCCAGGCCAAAAGTAGCAACCAAAGTAGGCCACATTATGGCTGTGGCTGAGAAAAAACACCGGTACAAAAATGGGTTGCCCTGGTAAGTGGAAACACGGCCCAAAACCTGCGGTTCGCCCCTCCTGTTTAGTCTTGAGCCACACCCATATGAACCTATGCTAGGACACGTTGCGATGAGTAAGCTCATAACACGAGGCTGCGGGCTCCCTCTGAAAAAAAAAGGCCCGGTACTCTCCCACAGGCACCATGGCCCAGACCGCTCCCCGGCTCTCTCGGCTCTCTCGGCCTGCAACGCTTTCAGGAACTCGGGCCTCACGGCTCGGAAGGCGCGGGCCACTGACTTCACTTGGACCTGTACCCGCATAAACCCGTGTGCCAAGGCAGCCTCCTCATTTACCGCGCTCCGAACGCTATTAGAAGTGGCGCGAAACCAAAACTGGCGACTTTTTGGCTGCGCCAACTGTCATGTCTGTTGAAATGTCATATAGCTCATATAGCGCAAGGTATGACTCCACAAGGATCTCATAGCAAAGCTGCCCAACCTCAAAACAGCCAATCCAAATTGAAACAAGGGAAAGCGGATACATCTACCAGCACCCCCGAACAACTTCTTTTTGCACAGTACTTGGGATTTTGGACATGGGATAAAGCAGTTGTTGCGGGGTGCTGGTACCTATAATTCCCCTAAACCTACTCACTTCTTAAGTGGATTGGTCAACAAAAAGTCCAGACCTTTTATTTACCACTAAAATGGTCTTCCCAAGAAGCTTAAAGTAAAGTTCAGAAACTCGGGCACAGGTCAAGCATCCGCTAGATGTGCAGTCTTTGCATTCCATATGTCTGCATTCCATAGACTAGTGCTTGCAGTCATTGCAACCCAAAAGCTTGTTCAACGTCTCTAAGCAACGGGAGCAACCCTTTGCAACAAGGTGCGGAGTTTCCCTTGGGTTGGGAGGGGGCGGTTTGGGAAGGCTTCGCGCTTGGCATCTGCTTTTCTTATTGCGGGGGGGGGGGGGGGGGGTTTTGTTAAGGTGGGGTGCGTATTGTGGGAGCAATACCTTTCATCAGAGTGTATGTGGGTATGTCTGGCTGTGTGCATGTGTATGTGTGTATGTGTACGTATGTGTGTATTGCTGTATGCGTGTGTGTGTGTGTGTGTCCGTGTGTCCGTGTGTCTCTGTGTCTCAGTGTCTTTGTGTGTGTGTGTCTGTGTGTGTCTGCGAACCTGTGTATCTGCGTGTCCGCGTGTCTGTGTCCGTGTGTTTCTGTGTGTCCGTCTCCGTCTGCATGTCTCTGTGTGTGTGCGCCTGCGAATCTGTGTGTCTGCGTGTCTGTGTGTCTGTGTGTCCGTGTCTGTTTGCCTGTCCGTTTGTCTGTCTCTGTCTGCGCGTCTGTGTGTGTCTCTGTGCTTCTGTTTGTCTGTGTGTCTGTGTCTGTGCGTGTGTGTCTGTATGTCTGCCTGTCCGTGTGCCCTTGTGTCTGCGTGTCCGTGCGTCTGTCTCCGTCTGTCCATGTCTGTCTCTCTTTGTGTGTTTGCACGTATGCAGACATGCATGCCTGCATGCACGAATGCAGGTAAGTACGTAGACTATGCTGGATTCACTTAGAATAGAGAGCAATGTGCTTTTTTGATTACCCAATTCCAATGTTATATTTGACGCAGCTAGATTTTGGTCAATTCTATCTGTTTGAAAACTTTGGGTGCATACTATCTGTTTAAGGGCATCTACTCTGTTATATGAAAGCATGACAATTACAGGGGTGTCTGCCTCAACACAATAACAATATTCGGGCAGCCTCCCAGCTTTGAGGACATACTGTTGCTTTGGACAAAATGGGGCTCGCTTATTCGTGGTTGTGAGAAGCAGGGACGAAGAACTGTAGTGCTTCTGTGGGCTATTCAGAAACCCTATGCGATAGAATTGCAGCTTCCAGAGCGTATGCGTGAAACATCACGGAGAAAAGCTGGAGAGCTGATGAGCTCGTCTATGCCAGGACATTGCCAAGGCGCTTCCAGCTTTCATTGTACTTGCTCAATCGCATCTTCAACGCGGTATTCATACATCATGTTTGGTTCATTTGGGATATGTCGTCAAACCCCCCCCCCATATTCTATCTGCTAGTTTCCTCGGTGTTTCAAACGTGACCCTGAACAAACGTGCGTCGAGCCATTCTATCTGCAGGCAACTGTTTTTTTTTGAACAAACAATAAGCGAGTGCAGATTGCTATACTATGTAATCATAGTGGAAACATAGTCGAAACATATGACTTGGATATGGGATTGGAGTCAGGCAAGATGTGCCAAAAGACAGGGCCAAAGTCGCTTTGCAAAGTCGAGGCGAGGACTCATTCCCCGACGGAGAGCCCGAACAGAGACCACTGAGCACCGGGCTCGACGCCCTGAGGCGAAGCAAGCTCCAAGGCCAAGTGTCGAGGAAGCCGAAGCAGCACTGTGCCTGCAAACTAGGTCCTCCAGTAGAGAGCTTGGAATAAGGGTACCCGATTTTGTTCTTCTGTCTATTTTTGGTAGGGGAACCCTCCCCCCAAAAAAGAAACGGTAAAAGGGCACCCAGCTGGGGGACCAATTGCACAGTTCCTGGCCGACTCTCCGCTCTCCGCTCTCTCTCGCCTTCCGGCAGGTCATGGACTGCTTGGCACGTCCGGTCACAGCGATCCAAGGCCTGCAGCGCCTTCCAGCCGTCGCGGATGACAGCGCCATGGCTCTTGGCCCAAGAGAAAAGCCTCCAATCCGCGGAAGCGGAATCCGCTTCGCAAACTCGAAGCCGGAAAAATCCTCACTGGCTCTTCTTGCATCCAAGGCTCTGGGCACCAGCCGACATGTCAAGAGAAGCGTGTCTGCTGGTGTGACAGGGTTTTGCTTCTGGTTTCTGGCTGACATGCAATTGCCTCCGAAGGCTCGTGATTCGCCATGACACCCGGTAAAACGCAACCATGAATGGACTGGATTCCTTACAACTCGGCACGATTGTCTTTCGTGGCTCTGTTCCTGATCTGGATGGCTAAAGCCAACAAAGCACAGCATGCACACAAAGCTTCTTGGATTTATACCCCAATAGTGTCTTAGAAGATCGGCAGATCCATTTCTCCTTTTCTCCACACAACGGCGCGCGATTCTAGTCCATCGAGCGTGCCTTGAAAGGCCGCTTCTCTTTGCTCAGAAACAGCGATGAAGCTAAAACCCCGCCAGAGAGCTGAAACAAACAGAGCGCCAAGCCGTGGAACACCTGCGGGTCTGAGGACTGAATGGTGCCTGCTGTGGCCAGACTCCACACCACCGCCGGATTCAGGAGTCCTGAAATCGGTCCGGCCGCGAAGCCGCCCAGCGTAAGACCAGCTCCAATGGCAAGGCCAAAGAAAAGGTTCTGCGCGGAAGGCGTGACGCTCAGGACGACCAATGCCAGTATACATGTGAAGGCAGCCTCCACCGCAAAAACACTTATCCAACTAAAGTCGCCTTTCGGCTGTAAAGATATCTGCCCGCTGCCTGCTATGCTGAAGTAGCCTGCTACTATCAGCCCTGCCACAATCCCTGCAAGCAGCTGGGCTGCCCAGTAGGCAAGGCCTGGCAAGCGCACATCAACAACAAAATTATCAAAGACATGATCAGCACAAACATGATCGATGAACAATTGAACATCATAAGTATGATGACAAAACATGATCAACACTGAAATCAGGGGTATGTTGGAAGTTTTATAAGCCCCGCCTCGCCCCAAGGGGCATTTTCCACTGAGCACCATTGCCAAGGTAACCGCTGGGTTCACATGTGCACCACTGATATCGTGCACAGCATAAACGATGGAAGCCAATGCAGCTCCAGCAACCCAAGGTGTACCGGCATTGGGCTGCGTGCCAAGACCAACAGTCACACAAAGAAGCGTCGTGCCATAAAACTCGCAAAACCACCTGGGTATGGGTCAAAATTAAAGCACCAAAAAACAACGCAGGTAATTTAATTTTGGTTCCACAGGGATCCTTACATTATACACCTGAACATTGCCTTGTAACTGGTGGTTTCCAACTTTATGTTGGTGGAAAAAGCAACATGTGTTCAAATGCAACATGTTTCAAATGGTTTAGGGTTTAGGGTTTAAGGAGCCCTGTTCCATTTCGGGTTCCAGACTGGAGGCCCATTTTCGGCCCCGCCTGGAGCTGAAGTGCGGCTGGTCCTGGGCCTCGTGGCGTTCGTGGCGTCGCGCGACCAGGTAGCAGGCGGCCGCAACCAAACCGCCGAAGATCTCCATGCCGGCGTAGGCGAGGCCCCAGGGAGCTGGCGCAACGACGCGACTCTGCCTGGGCTCATTCTGACGGGTTCTGGGGGTGATCATTTTGAGTTCTGGGGTTATCAAAGTGAGACAATTTGGATGAAAATGGGGTTGTTTCCCTTGACCCACCACTTAGGGAATGACTTTGATCATGGTAAAACAATGAGGCCAGTCTGCGTGCCCACAATCTCCAGGCCGATGGCAGCGGCGGGGTTCAGCACGGCCCCGGAGACGTGTCCAGCTGCGTGGCCAGCGATCAGGACCAGGCCGACTGCAAGACCCAGGAAGTGGTTCTGGTCGTGGGACGGGTTGTTGTTCCTGCAGCAGTTGAAACCGACATCTTTGGCAAACACATCAAGCTAACAAGCTGCACCTTGATGAACAGTTGTTTATGCGTTCAGAAAAGACAACGACTGCCGAATTGTGTTCCTACTATTGCTGAAAGCGTTTAGAGCTGTTTGCCATCCTGGACACAGCCACGTTGAGCACAACGAAACAAAGCATCCCAGTGTACAGCGCTTCCAGAAACGCCGCGTCCCAGAATCCGAACGGCGCAATGGGCGCCACGCCCATGGGCACCTGAAAAACCTCGTAGCATGCCATTCCTGCTAACAGCCCTGCAGAGACTTGCAGCAAGCAATACGCGATCACTTGCGGCCAGGGCATTCGGCCAACCAATCCACATGCCATGGAGACTGCAGGGTTCAGATGCCCCCCTGAGATGGGGCCAAAGACGTAAACCAACACCATGAGCATGACACCGTTCGCTGCAGAAGACGTGATGACCATGGTGTTCAAGGCAATTGTGAAGACCAGGAAAAAGGTCCCGACAAACTCTGCCACATATGGAGCTGCGGATTCTGCAAAGGTTCGCTCCTCATCACTGGGGCCAACAATTGAACCATACATGGCGCCAATGGCACCAATGGGATTCGGTAACAGATCGGCCAGGAGGCCGCGCTTAAGCCAAAAGAAGATGCATGCGGCGTAGAGTCGCAAGCTGCCATGCTTCCTGCTGCTTGTAGGCTCTTCAATGTGTGTTGCAAATCTGCCTCAGTGTTTCTCTGTTGTCCGATGGGACAAATGGAAAGCTCTAGCACACGTCTCCTGCGAGACAAGTTGGATAGCAAAGCTCGAGGACATCTAGCACACAGCTGAGGGTTAACATAGGGTTAACAATGTGGCCATGGGTCAAAATCCCGTACCCCCAGTGAACATCCCAATCCCCACTAAAATAGACTAAAATGGGTGGTGCACCTACCCTCAAACTGGTACCATTGGTTTTGACCCACAGCCATGTGCCCAAAACAGCGTCGACTTCTTCGCACCGCACCAGTTTCTTTGATCGATGGCGCCATGTTTTGCGCATCAGCGGCTCAAGGAGCACCTAGCGAAGGTTCCACACATCAACAAGGGACACCACAAGGAAGACTCAACGGGAATAAGTACACCCTCTCTTTGGATCGTTTGAGTGAAAGCAAGGATACATGGAGGGGGTGCTCATGTTCGCGACAGCAGAAATAAATCCGACCTGGATCTGGTTGATGAGTGCCATGGTAGTTTGTGGCTGCTTCACAATTGTACAGCAAGTTTTGGTTTGCACGGACCACCTGTTCACGCGGGGACCCTGACAAATGCCTTCGAGAGAAATGCCTTTGAAGGGATTAATGGCCGCGATGACCCAGAGCACAACTCGAGGGATGGTCCGAAAAGCAAACTTCCGGTGTTTCTTCCTTCTCTCCAGGTTGTTGAAAACTAAGAGGGTTGTTACTTCTAATACAGAGAGAGAGAGAGAGAGAGAGAGAGAGAGAGGGAGACAGGGAGCCGGGAGAGAAAAAAGAACGAGAAAGAGAAAGGATCCTCTCCCTCTCTCCCTCCCTTTTTCCTTTTTTCCCTCCCTCCCTCCCTCTCTCCCTCTCCCTCCCTCCCTCCCTCTCTCCCTCTCTCTCTCTCGTGCTCTCTCTCGCTCTCTCTCTTTCTTTCTCTTCCTCTTCATCTCTTTAGAAAGGGAGAGAGAGAAGATAAAAAAGCAGAGGAAGAGCAAGGGTCAGAGAGAGGAGGAAGAGAAAGAAACACAAACACAGAGAGAGAGAGAGAGAGACATGAACTCCTGTAAAGCAAAGAGTTGTTTGAGTGCTTGGCGGGGGGGACTGGTGCATACGTTGCACGATTGGTGGTTGGCCAAGGGTTGCCATTCAGAATTTTAATCAGCTTGCATGTTGGGAGGGCAAGACATTGATGGGCCAAACCAAAAGCCGAGCCAAGCCAAAACTTGGGGGCCGTTTTTTGCACATTCCATCCGCCTCGCCTCTCTTCTAGCATTCCAGACAGCAACAGCTCACTGGGCCGCGGCAGCATGTTGGTCCATGCCTCAGAACGCGCCTCAGAACGCGCCTCAAAACTGGAACCCGTTTTGTGGATCCCCCGTCAGGAGCTTCTTGATATTACATGGGATTACACCCTTGGGAAATGACCTAAAGTGGTTCAAAACAACACGGCTTTCTCCGGAAGCATGAAATGGGATCATTTCCCAGGGGGTGTAATCCCAGGGTCTCTTACAAAAACCCTTTGAAGTTGGGAGCCGTTTAAGCCATCGTGGTCATGCGGCTGTGGGTCAAAATCCAAATCGTACCCCTAACATCCCAATCCCCACTAAAATAGACTCTAAAATGGGTGGTGAATTCACCTACCAACCAAAATGGGATCCCATTGGCTTTGACCCACAGCCATGTGACATAAGCTGCAAACCTGCTCCTGTTGAGCATAGCCACTCGGCTCTGCGGCCTGCGATCCGCGCCATGCACTTGGCAGCTGCAGTGGCAGCAGTCGCCCCGACTTTTTCAAAACCCGGGCTGCGTCTTGGTCTCTTGCAAGCGGACAAGCTGTGAGAACTCTCTGACCAACAGCCGCTCTCTGATCAACAGCCGGACACCGTGGATTTCTGAGAATGAAGTTTAAGGGCTGCTCGCCCGCATCCCGCACTGCTCCGCACGCAACAATAAAAAATCGGGGCACGCGTGTGCTCCTGCCCTTGCCCTTGCATCCAAGACGACACAAGTCAAGGAAAGGAGTTCACCGCACTCCCCATTTCATTCGCTGCAGGTATTGAGCCTTGCAGCGGTGACACTAGAGACCTGTGGAAACTTGCGCGGAGGCTGCGCTGTCTTCTGACCCCTTCACCAGTTTGGCAAACCACGCCCGTTTCGCACGTGCGACCCGGCGCTTTGATCGGCCATGGAACTCTGGCGAAGATTGGAGAGCTTCGAGCTCCAAGGCCCTGCTCTGAAAACTTGCCTTCAAAAGACGGAGCCTCGCCTGACACGCAGCGGCCATCTGAAGTCAAGTTGAGGGCAGCGCGTTGGCAACGAGTGCAACCTGCCTCCAGGCAACTCAGGCATCAACGCGCTTGCGTTCGAGGCCTGAGCGGTATTCTCCCAAATGCAAGAAAGTCATGAGACTGTTCTGGGGCGAATTGCACATGAAGCCTTCGAATCATGCTTGGGCAACAGCCCGAAATAGTGCCCGCCTGTACAATATGCCCGCCATCAGTTTGTGTTTGGCAGGGCCACTTCACTTGGCACATTGGATCCTGAATACCATAAAGAGAGGACCAAACCAAGAACCACTTTGCCGAAACGGGTTGGTTTCCTGCTGTTTGCCACCGGTCGCCTTCCCATTCCCACCACAGAGTCGCAGGCGTTCGCGCTTGATCTCCACAACGGTCGTCTCACCTGACAAGGCACGTGCGCCAGGGAGCCAGGAGCCTCATGGGCCTTGCCCGGTTTTCGCTTTGGTTTCCCTTTAAAACACACCAAGAAAGGAAGAACAACCCCAAAAAAAACAAAAAAGAAACACGCACATGCACACGCACACACACACACACACACACATGGCAGGGCTCGCGAGACAATGTGCCTGGCAGTACCTCCAGGGTTGAGCTTGAAACCTCAGGTCCAGACGTGTGACTTGCATGGGAAAGGGTGCAAAGAATCACTCTGGGAAAGGCGTGCATGGGAAAGGTTGAGGGGGTCCTTATGGATCCAGATCCCTTTTTGGCAAACAAAACACACACACACCGCGAACCGCGCCCCCGTTAAAATAGCAGATGGATTTCCCGGTTGGCATTCATGTCTGCGCTTGGCTTCCTGCTTCGTCTTCTTCGACTGCATCCTTGATAGCTTGCGATGCCACGTCCGAGACGATCTTCAAAACTCCCACCTCAGAATCGAAGCCCATCTCCGGGAGCCATGTCTAAGGGTATCATTTTGAGGTTGGCGCTCACAGGAAAACCAACAATTCAAACGCTCATTTTGAGGGTTCCCCTATTTAGCGACAAACCCAAAATGTAGCATCCTTAGCTAATATGGAGCATGGCCATATATGCTTCATGCTTGTATTCCTGCGGGCATTGTCGTTTGTGCTTGGCTCGGACAAGCACTGCCACATCCCACATCTCGCCCGTCACTAAGACTTTAGGGTCTGAGCTGTCACAGCGAGTCCCAAGGCGTAGACCTGAGCGCAAGATCCATGAGTTTTGGCAGGCCAAAGGTGAGGGTCGGTCATGGTAAAGGGCTGTCTCTTTGCGACTTTGCGATGGGGCTGGGTGCCATAGGCCCCGAGACATGAGATTCGCTTGGCCAAAGTGGAACCCGGAGATTCTATTTGCAAGTGAGCGGGGATTTTTTGGGTGTATCCGCCTACACTGGCAGCCATGCCTACGCGGAGCCGCGGGTGTGCATACCGTGGCACGGGTGTCTACGCGACCCTACGCGACAAAAAGCGCCTACTCGGAGTGCCTACGCAGACCTTTCTCGGGCGCTACTTTCAAGTCATAGCGACAAGCTTATATAAGGTAAAACACGCCTATGCAAACCTGCCTACGCAGGATTTTCTTGAACAACCTACGCGGACCGCCTACGCGGACCGCCTACGCGGTGCCCCCCGAATGCTAAGCGAATACTTAGCGAGAAAAAAAGAGAAACAAAAAACAAAAAACATCTGCTCAAGTGAGTCATTATCAAACCTGGTATATTCAAATGGTCTACCCAGAACCACATACTGTAAATCATTGAAACCCACCTGTGGCTGGGATTCTCCCTTTGATTGTGCCTCCAGTGAGGGACACTCTGGGAGCCGGGCATACCAGGGCTGGCTTGCCCCGTCCGACATGACGTCCCGGGCCGTGCTGGCCGCGTAGACAAGGCCGATGGTGCCTGGCTCATTGTCTCCAATGGCCCATGGCCACACTGCATCCCTGCACGCACCTGACTCCCAAGGAAAAAGTTTTGAGGTTTCGCGAGTGGCACATGTTGACCAAAAGGTCCCTGATACGTGGGACCATTGCTTGGAATACTAAAAATATTTGATATGACAACCACATGGGGAAAAAAAACATCCTGTGGTCAAAACTGGGGGCCAGGAATATCGATGAACCCCCACACGAAGTGCATGGCTCGGAAACTCACTCCAGTTTTTGACAAACATCGGATCGCAGAAAGTGGGGCCGGTCCGATCCTGCCCTACCCTGCCTGGCGCAAATCCTAGAGCTGTAGCCAGGATGAAGTCCACGAATTCGCAGGAACTTAAGCCATAGACCTGGCGAATTCGACCAAGCTTTGGCTGGAGAAGGACACAGGCGGGATCTGGATGGCGACTGGATGCACTGGGATGGGTGCTCGCACATGTGACACAAACCATGCACCATCACCCCCATGATTCCCCCTTCCCGTGCACAACCGCCAAACCGCAAACATCCATCAATGCCTCCTCGCCCCTACCGCAGTGGAGTGTGAAGCACGTGTGATCAGCAGAACTGGGAAAAACTGCATCCCAAATGCTGAGCAATGAACTCGTGGGATTTGATTCATAGACGGATGAACTAAACCGCCCAAAACCGCCCAATACCTAAAAAGATCAGAGAGATCCCCGAGTAAAGGACCGTCACAGAGCTGGTGAGCTCGCGCAAGCCCGAGGCCCCCTGCGTAGTTTGAGAGTGCGAAGGGCAGCAGCGGTGACAAACGCCTGGACGACACGCGCGCCTATGATCCACACGGAAGGCCCATGGGATCAATCCACCAGATGTTTTTCAAAGACCTGAAATAAGGGTTTTTCGGAGATCCCAAAGTCAAGCACCTACGTAGCTTAAGCGATTTACTCTATAGGCAGAGCGCGTCATGCCCATCTCATGCCGAGGCGCAGCAGGAAGATGATCTTGAAGCCTTCTCGCCTAGGGGCATCACAGAAAAAAGAAAAAAGAAAAAACATACACAAACGATCGTCGAAACTGGCTAAACCCCTTGGCAACGCCCATCCCCAAATCACCCTAGAGAGTATTTCCTGAAGCTTGTGGATCTGGTTTTGGGAATGCCACGCGACGAGCTCTGTCGAACCCTAGCACGTCTTTCTCGCTGACAGGTACTTCGGACAAGAAAAGACACCGCTAGCGGCTTTTACCCGAAAGCGGGGTCTGGTGCCCCTCAAAAAAGGTAGCACGGCCAAAGAGATCCTTAAAACCTGGAAATCTCGTCAGCCACTCAGTCGACATACTGCTGACACCTGGGCGTGAGCAGGTGAATGCCACGCGCATCTTAGCTTCAATTTGTCCAAGCCACGTCTCGGCTGCACGGGACAATGTGTCCGCCAGCACCTGAGCCATGAATTTGGGTTTCCTGATACTTTGTTTGTCACGGATGATTGGAGTCTAAGGAAACCAAGGACGAAATCCAAAGTATCAAATCACTGAACGGTCCTGGTTTTGGGTTCACATGAACCGTCTGAGATCAGGACCTCCGGAGTCAGCGCCTGAGCTCGTTGAACGTGTTTCTTTCTTGAGTCCTTTCGGGGCCCGTTTTTGTCTTCACTGGGAGCCGGGTAACTAGAGGCTTCAGGTCTGAACTTCAAGTCTTCAAGTGAGTCATAATCAACATCTATTGTTAAAATGGTCTACCCAGAACCATGCAAAGAATTAACGAGGCGGACATCCGCACCTATTCATGGCTGGGATCGCCCCTTACCCATCCAATTTGCTGGGTTTTGATTGTGACTCGAGTGGTTAGCCAGAGTGAATTCGATCTCCATCTTGTCTTGATTTGAGTTGGGCCCGGGTTTGCCTGCATGCTCTATCACGCAAAGGTCACCCTTCGCAGCGATTCGGGACACACGGTGACATTCATGCTGCATGACTCGCAGGGTCACCAGCTTGTCGAACCTCCAAACATACTGTTCAACACACCACACCCAAACAGGCACCTGTACTTTAATCAACACCAAACCAAAGATTTCAGAAGCAGCATTTCAACACCACCAAACACAAACCACAGCATGCCCAAACCTGGCACATTTTGAGAAACCAGAAGTCTGGATAGCCACTCTACACTCTTTCAGCCCAGCTGACGGGCCCCTGCCTGGACTGTGCGAAGAATTCGGCCGGGCGCCGATGCCTGCCGGACTTGAGACCCGCGAGCTGCCAGTCAGTTGAGTCACAATCAGAACCGATTCGGCACAAAATGGTCGACCCAGAACCATGCTTCAAGAACTAAGAAGGCGGATATCCGCAGCTATTTATGGCTGGGATCGTCCCTTAACCTTCACTTACCCCGGGTTTTGAGTGTGGCTCAGTTCCAAACTCGCGACGCGAAAAAGGTCTTTCTGCACTTCTTGGACACATAAGCCAAGTGCCAAGCTGGCCACAAAGCGCATTGGCTATGTAAGCGATTCCAGTTTGTCCAAAGAACCCAACTTGACAGCGCCCGAAACCCACTGGCTGTTGGCTTTTCAAGATGGAT